CAAATTTTACAAGTATATTACTTAAAAGTTAGTAAAATTTAAGCAAATTGCTTGGCTTAGTACAAAACAATTACAAAAAATTGTTAGATCTCTATCGAGTAGTTTCTTAAATAGACTGTAGTGCTTGTAACTAAAAGTGTGATATAGGTCTTAAAAAAAGGTTTATGGAATTGCTTTACGCCTTCAACCAGAATAAGAAACAACACACTTTTCAGTACTAACAACTTACTCTTTACACTTAAGCGGATGCCACGTCTGCATCTTTTACTATTAACGTAAAAATTTTAGTTTTGTGAAACGGCCCACTTTTACAACTTTCTTTCATATCTAGTTATCTTCCCGTAATAACTTGTATCCCTTACGGCCGCGCCTCGAAAAAACTAAGTGATTGCAACTATATATTTATAATAATCGGAGAGCACCTTAGCTACAATATAACAAGTTTTAAAAAAAAGGTTAATATTAATAATTAAAAGTTAAATACAGAAACGCTTTTTTTTAATCAACTAATACTTAAAGTTTTATGGGTAACAGGAAAAAAATTATATATTTTCTTTACTCTCCTACATTTTTTATAAAATAAAAATTATTTTTAAATTTAAAGTACGTACTTCTAACACTTATTAAGATAATTTCATACTTAAAGGAAGGTAGAATATTAAACACCCTAAGTATTAAATAAAACCAAGTTTAAATTGCTTAAGATAACATTCTATTCCAAAGAATTTTTGTTATAGTATTGGTTTATGATTGATCAACTTGTACCTTTTTATTCATTTGCTGGCCAAAAATAGCCATGATTATTTGACGAGTTTGTCAAGTAGCTTGGCTGCAGCCGCGAAGTTTTGAAGTAAAGCGGAGAAAAACAACTTTTCGAGTGTGTTTAGATTGGTATTAAGAGCTTTGGCCAACTTAAATATTTATCAATTTTTTCTTTTGTTTCTATAATAAAATATACATCCTCTATATGCAGTAAGATTTTCTTCACAATTAGCTTAAAAAAGGCTTTTGAAGTCAACGTGCAACAGCATCTTTCGTACTTGAGTGCCACAGAAAAGCAGAGTTCCTAAAAGTTATAGCAATATAACCCATAAATCTTTCGAGCAAAAACGTGGTGACTATTCTAAAGTTTTAAAAAAAAATAAAATATTTATTTATTTATTTATAGCACTGGTTTACTACTAGCGTAATTTATAATCAATTGCTGCCTAATCTATATAAACTCTCTTTTTACTGAGGGTGCGGAAAAAAAAAGAAGTGATAACTTCTCTTACGATTCATTACGCCATCCACGATAAAAATGGTTGACTTTATTATCGCAGCCGAATAGTATATACATTATTAAAAACGTAATAGCAAAGTAATAACAATTTTACATGCAACAAAATAGTTAAGTTTTAATACCATTATATTACTAATGTATATATATATTAATATTAAAATAAACTATCTTAGCAGTACTCCCTTTCTAGTAAATTTGAGTAATGTTTTGGCCACGAGAACTTGGTATACCAACGAAAGTCATATTCGAGATCCTACCCTACTCAGAAGGCGATTTTGTTGTATTTGTAGACGATGAATATGTTTGCTTGAGGAATCATCCCAGACAATAGAGGCATAAACTATCAGCGGGCGCATAACCAATTGGTATAACAGAAGCTTGTTTTCTAAATACAGCTTGCTTTACTTGCATAGTAAGGGATATAAAACGACTATAGCTTGTTTGGTTTTAGAAACTACATAAGGACGGTACGAGGTCCGGATTACTGTCATTAAGCATAACTCCGAAATATTTGGATCTTCCTCCTTCGAGGAATGACAGTTTGGTTTTAGTGAGGGACTAGTGGTTGTTGGTAGTAACTTCCTTGTTATAATCATTAAGCTACTTTTCAACGCATTATTAACCTTCATGTTGAAAACCATGCCTCAAGTATGTTCTTGAACAGAAGCAAGGCATATTTTAAACTATAGTATAAGGCTGCGTTATAAGCGTATTGAGTTAATAATATTTTTGATAATTGTGGCATATCGGACATGTAGATAGAAGAAAGTAAAGTGGTTAATAAGGAGCCTTGTCGGCCCTATTTTTACTTGTCTAATAGTGGACTTCAACGAACTTTCTCTAGCAGAAAAGGTTCTATCTGTTAGGCATGAGTGTACTACCGCAGTTAAGTAAAAAGGGAAGCTAGCGGGCTAGACAATTTTACCATATTTTATCACTATCCTTCTCAATATCTAAAAAGACAAACACCTGTTACTTCACTGTCGTTAAAAGCGGCAGATACTGAGAACAGTAAAACACTTAAAAAATAGAATTTTGGTCGAGAGGCCAGTTCTTGTAAACAAATAATCTTTTTTTAAAGGTTAAATTTTTAATAAATATGAGCAAACTGACTTATTAAAACGCCTCTCGTTGTGCTGCGAACTCGCCGCTCCCGAAACCTACTTCACGCCTTATCAATGCGACTTTTCCCTTTTACGTAAAACAGGCACTTAATTTACAGACTAAAGTGCTCCTTTTAAGTTCATGGTTTACGCTGGACTTCATAGATCGTATTACCAATATTTATTAACAAGTAGAAGTGGCCGTATGTTAACTCAATTTTAAAAGCTTTGCGGGGCTAGGTGAAAAACTTAAATAATAGTCTTTGAGAAGATGCAGGCTGCAATGTTCAGTAATAAGATATGAATCGGAACGCCTCAGTCCATGAGGCCCATCTACAATAACATCGCCATCGTGAACTACTCGGGGGTAAATACCCCCTAAAAGTAGCAAATACCAACTCCTCTTCTGCCAGCCCGCCGGAGTCCAACTGCTCATGCGGCTCTGTGCCCATCAAAAACTAGAACCAATAGCATGCGTAGGCTGATCGCATCAAAAAAAAAATAGTCGGTAACCTCTTCAGCTTCTTCCTTTGAAACGTTCGAATCGCTCGCTTCATCGTTCGTGATAAGAGTCACTCCATCGGCGACAATCTGCTGCCACACGTCGTTATCTGCGCAGGAAGAATAAGAAGAATGTCCTCTGCAAGAGTAACTAATCTATTACATAGCCTATTGGTTAAGAGCTTTTCTTTAAACTTTTTCATCCACGAGTTGAACGATTCGGCTTTCTGTTGCTGGAAAGACAGATGAAAACAGGCAGCATAATGCCATAAAAAAGTTTCAATACCGCAACACATTCTTTTCGAAGAACTGCCAAACAGTCGAACGCTCTTAAGGTAAAGTCTTTATTATACGAATTTTCCACGAACTGCTCGATTAGTTGGCACATCTGCGTAATGGCTAGTTGAAGAAAATTTAATTATTTTGGGTGCGTAAAAAAAATAGAGAACCCTCGGAGACCAGGCCTTCCTCAGGCCAGGAGCACATAGTTCGAAAATCAGCCACTGGGTTAACTGAGCCGACCTTGTAGAAGTAAGCTGAGGAGACCTCCTGTGACGGTCACAGTGACTATGAGGGCATGAAAACGCGTGGCTGTGCGGCATACGGCAATGCTTCGCGGCAGGTCTTCCGTAGTCGGCCTCTTCTTCGAGGGGGGAGGCCCCTCGGTCGCCTCCTTTGAAGTACTCTGGAAGTAAGAGGAAGCGCCCAGTTTATCAGTTTTGCGCTTTTCTAAGGCAAAATAACTTTCGAAATAACTTTAAGATGCCATGCAGTTAAGGTAACCGATTTTTCTTAATCTAAAAAGTTCTTGAATATTTAAAAGTTGGGCCTTTGAAGTTTCCTTTACTAAGTCAAAAGGAGCCATGAAGTCTTTTATAATCGAGCCTACTGCTGGCAGGTTTCTGCTCTTAACGCCTTTCACTAGAAAAAGAGTTGGAATTAACAGGAAAAAACACTGATATTCTAATCAAACAGTCATCCAGCGCCCTCTGGTGTATACATTGCCAGAAATATCGAATAGCTGGATTGAAAACGTGCTCCGGGCTATGACCACTAAGCGGACATCATTCGCCTTTACATTAAAACATTATTCAGCCACAAATCATGCCTGCTATCTTCGCTGCAAGGCTTTGACAAATCCTTGGACGCCATGAGGGCAGCAACAGCCTGCTCTTGTTCAGCACTTGGCTGGAGTTTTTTACTGAAGCTTAGAGAAGGGAATTGGTACTGATAAACGAGAGTGCCGTCATGTGACCAGAGAAAAGTACAACCAATAATATTAAACCTGCCGAATGTCATCAGCATACGGAAGTTCCGTATATAATAAGCTCGAATGGTTCTTTTTTATATGAGGAGAGAGAAAGCCTACTTTAGGGGTGCTGTGGAAGGCTCAGAGGGTCTCAGAAAATTAAAAAAACAAACAAACGCACGCCTTGTCTGCCCGAACAAAACGGACGAGCGCTACTGTGCCTGTCACGTGCAACCCCTGAGAAGAGCCAATCAGCATATCACTCGATACACGGGGCTTAGAAGCCACCCAACCGCAGCTAACGAGGAAAGGGCGGTCTGCGCAGGAACGTCTGATGGGTCAGCCACAAATGCAATCACATGGTTCATCCAGAGACGCCTTGGTACCTTCAGGGTAGATAAGGATCGTTAAAATTTTTGTAAAAACTCAACAAACATTTTCTGATTTTGTAAAAGAGAGGATCTGAAGACTTTTCTCTGTTTCTAACTTCATGCTCTCCTCGTCGATCTTGGCCCACGGAATTCTGGTCGGCCCATACTGTTGTACTAAGTAATAGGAAAACTGCAGTGTCAAGAGGTAGAATGAATGGTTTCCTTATAGCCTTTAGCGCAATCCTCCTTCGGAACTTCAGTGCGGTCTTCATCAAGTAAATGGTATGTCCCTTAAAAGTATTACAAGTAATTAAAAGTAAAAAGTGAACTCAACTTCAAAATTATACGTTGAAGGTAAACTCTAGAGACATCGCTGTTGCCGTCTGTGGAAATCTTTCAACAACACTATGAATATTATTCACAGCCTTCACAAATCACTACCGACCATCTTTAACGAGGGGGGCTTGGCTTCTTTGGTGAGTGCATATGCAAAAACAGGAAAGGAAAAAGCCGGGCCAAGCATTAATGTGCCTCTGAAAACGGGGGACTGCCGGATGTTCTGCTTTCTTTCCTTTGAGAGTAGTTGCAAGGCAGCTACACAAAATCAAAGAGAGCCGTAGAAAAGATCAGACGATTCCGTATAGCAGAAAGGTAGTACTGGAAAAAGAAAACATTTCGCCATTGGTCCCTTCAGCGAGTTGCTTCAGCACACGTGAAAAGGGAGACTAAGAAACTCAAGTAAAAAAATAACCATTGAAGTTTTAAAATAAATTTTTTTAATAACTTTTGATTTTTGGTTAGTTTTTAGCTCGTTTCCTTCTTCCATTTCGTCAAAATCGACGCCTCTTATAGAAAATCATAATATAAGTTTAAATCAATTTTAATTTAGCTAAAGCTACTTAATTTGTACCCGTTGTGTACATATTTATATATAAATTTACAGTAATTTTCAAAAAATTAATTAGTGCACGGTACTATTTAGCTCCTCTAGTGATATATATAGTATTGTATAAGAAAGTACAAGATTTGGACTTCAATGTCGTTCCTATTTAACTCCTCAATAATAAATCCTAGTTGCTCAAGATCTGAAGTTGGGGCATATCCTCATGATGACTACATTAAAAAAAAAAGGGGGCTAATAAGTTTTAAAGATCCTCACCATTAGTCACAAGTAAAATTTTTTTTTCAAACTTTAACTTTTTAATTCTGGCTTTCAGCATCTCAAGAGCTACCACCACAACATCGAGAACTAAAATTTAAAATTAATTATTGCAAAAGAGCATTTTAAAGTAAAGAGATGAACTTTCAAATTTTATAACTTATAATTCTCAACACAAATTTCCATTATAATATATAAAATTATATTAATTTATGACTGTCTGCTTTCAAGGAATTAAGGTGAAGTTCATGTTCGACTGTAAGCAGGAGCTCCAGATCCAAAGTTGTTAAGTTTCTTAAAACCTTAATGTTTTGGTATTGGTCGTCTTCAGCAAGTGGATTGCTTGTTTCTTAGAAAAGTAAAAGATTTGGTAAACACAAAATGATAACCTTCGATAATCCCTAATAAAGAACATACCTCTGGTGCCGCAAATTACAAAACCTGTGAGATCGTTCTTCTTTAAGCTTCTTAACTGTGTTATAAAAAAGCTTTAAAGGAGCTACAACAGGATAAAGTTCCAAATCTAAAAAGAAATCTATACTGATACTTTTTGCTCGAGAAGTAAAACAAGAGCTTTAATAGATAATTCAAAGTGGTTAGTCCCATCCTTTTCCCTAATATCCATAGTGGAACCCACATCAAGACATATTACCTCTGCTCTCTTTATGAAGAGAATAACTTTTTCATAAATTTTGAGGTAAATGAAAAAGGTTACAACCTTTGACATGCTTTTAACGTTTTGTAATGAGTAACAGTTCTATCACTCGTTAATTTCTTGAAAAAGGAGGAACTGTTTAGGATGAACAGTCTCTAATAATGCGCCGACGGGATGGAGTAATATCCTGGAAACACCTAAGCGTCTATGGCGGACGACGGCGAACATGAGCCCTGTGTCTGCGCTCAGTAACGGCTGGCCGTACACCTTCTTGGCAGTGATCGTAAAATCGGTAGAGATTACTGGTCCGCTTAAAAGATGTTGATTCACGCTCTACCTAACCAAAGTTTTAGCAAAGACGCACAACGACAGGGGCACTACCCTTGAGTCGCCCCTACAACTAATTGCGGGGATGCCAGAAGCTTCCCCTTCTCATTAACTATTTGCATTTTATTAGTAAGACTAACTTCATCAGCAAACCCCTCCAGGTGATTTATGCCGCCAATACGATTGATTGTCAGAAACATTGCTTAACACTTTCTTCAACACAATTACTTTAATGTTGTTGTTAGTTCGGACCTTAACCTCACCGGAAGAGCGAAGCGTTATTTATTACGAAAAAAATATTCTATTGGCCCCGGTTGACTTATTGTGGCGAGTATAATCCTTGTTATTTAAAATCATATATCTAAGGAGTACCCTTGAGTATAAACTGTGGCGGTGGACGCACCAAAATGACTAGCTAAGAACACTAACCATCTTCTAACAGGGGGAACTTAGCTACAATATATATAAAACGGAGTACTACACCGTTGTTTACGTGACGCCCTGTAAGGGATGGTTGTTGACCCACTACTTAGTTGAATGGTTAAAAAAGAGGTTAGAAAGTTGACTATTGTATAAATATTTAAAAATACATTAACTAAAAAGCTTAAAACAAAAAATAAGAAAAACATACGAGCAAGGTGAAGAAGCAAAACAACATGGATTGTTTTTATTAAGCATCACCAGATAAATATATAAATATTGCACCCAACTCAGGGTCCATGGTAGTTATTATCTAACAAATTTCGTGTTAGTCACCCTTCGAATGAAAAGTTATGTTCAAAGTAGCCAGCGGGCTGCGATGTGGAAATTTTTTTTTCCCTTACCCGGTGTTATGGTCGTGGCTTGAGTTCTTTCTCGGGATGCCTCCTAGGACTAGTCAACTTAACAAACAAATATTCCGTAAATACTTAGTATTTATATTACGCTTTTTAGTCGTTAACTTAAATCATTTATAATAATGAACTTATTAAACTTAGTGATTACCTTTAGCTTCTCTTGTCGTTATTCCCTTCTCCCATACCCGATTTTTTTCTGCTTACACCTTTTAGTTTGGAGTTTTTAGGATCTCATTAGACTGGCTGACGTTTTAAGGTAGTTAAAGCGTTAATGCTAAACCCACCAATGAAATATAGCAATTTTATTTTCGGACCTATATTTTTGCAGTAACTAGTATTGCAAACTGAAGAAAGTGAATGAAGAAATGAGATCTTTCATAACGCTCGTTAAAGCTGTTTTTAATATATATTTAAGATTTACTGTCGCTATACACAAAATTTGTGACATGTCATATCCTTAATCGCGGCTAGGGATGGATAGTACTCAATTCTTAATAAATGTTAAGTCTGCAAAAGGTTTTGTGTATATGGTTCTAATGTCTTTTCTTAACCTCAGTGGAAGTTTCTTTTAGCGATAAAGGTTTCTTTCGCATAAAAAACTGAGTTCAATAAAAATTTTTTAAATAACTTTTATATAGTTTTTACTGTACCTTTTTTATTTTTTTTTCATCCTTATTTTTGACACCCAAAAGTTATTTAGTCGTTAACCAAATAGGTTTTCCTTTTCAAGCTGTTAAAGTCTTTCATTATGACGTTATCAGACAAGATATTAAGTCCTAACAAACACAAGTAGATTTTTATATGCTACCATAAGTCTTGACTTATAATTTCCTTCTCTTTTTTTGCACAAAGGATATAGAGTAGAATTCTCTAGCTTAAATATGTTAAATTTCTACTATAACAATATTAATTATCAATTAAAAAATCCTCAAGCAGTTTATTTTCTAGTTAAAACAGTTAATATTATTAAAGTTTATTTGAATTAAATAATATCAAGCTACTTATTAACTATTATAAACTGTAATATTTAGTGCTTTAAGTGAATTGGTTTTTCAAATTAGATGCACTCATATAAAATAAAGAAACTCAAAAATTTTACCAATTATTATAAACTTTAAAGCTGAAACGTAATGTTAAATGTCTTTTAGTTCGTTCAAAAGTATTCTATAATTATCGTGACGCTTATCAATTATTTTAATTCGTGTTAATCAATATGGCAAAACTATTGAGGTCTTCTGGTTACTCAATATTTCCTTTGTAATGAATATATCAGTACGCTTATTGGCTGCTTTAAACTGTGATAATCATTATTGTTACTAGCTATCCAACATTTTTTACGTGATAATATAATGGTCATGACGCTAATCGGTTAATTTAATATCTGATAATCAATTGACATTGTGAAAAAGCCTACTGGTTAATTTTTGGTATAAATATCATATCTATTATGGAATGAAAAAATTATCTAGAAGCTTATTGGTTAATTTAGACATTATTAAGCGGTGTACCATCATTAATAACAAAAGGGCCGCTGAATTTATAATAAATTTATTAAACAGCTTGTTCGTTATTTAATAACCGTTAGTATTTTCATGAAACTATCTATTTATTAACTTGTATGTATATTAAAGTAGCTTACTGGCTATATTAAACTACAGTAATAAATTGCTATATGTTGTAATAATAATTATAGTAGGTGTTGTTTATTAATAATAATAACAGAATTTCTTCAGTTATTATTTAAAAAGTAGCAGAAGTCGTCTAAACTAAAACAATAATAAAATTCCTTGTTCCCTTTATAATGAAATTCGTTATATTTAATTTTTTTTAAAAATCAAAATGTATCTGTTATTTTATGACTTTCTAAATGCCTTAATGATACAATTACAAAGCAGGTATTAATGATATAACTATCTTTTTAGTATCAAAACGTTAAATATTAATATTTTAACAAAATTAATAAGAAGCTTATTAAAGATAATAAAATGGGACATTTAAAGAATTTATTGTTTTCATAATTTTTATTAAGCAGCTTATTGGTTACTGTAAAAATGTAGTAACCAACAATTCAATCATATTAAGTAAATTTTATTATTTTTTTAATTAAATTTTTAAGTACCTCATTGGTTTGGCTTTTAATCGCAAAAGTCTTATTGGTTCTTTAACACTATAATAATCAAGTATACATATTAATTCGTTCACAGGTTTAAATTTATCACTTTAAGGGTCATTTTCAGATTGTCGAAAAAAAAAAATAATTAACTTTTTTATAATAGTTTTATATATTCAATTATAATGTATAATTTTCCAATTCAAAATTTATATTTCAAGAGTTTGCTATTTATTATAATAATTTTAATAAAAATAATGTTAAACAAAATAAGTGCATCGTTTATTTTCCAATATTTAAAATTTCAAACATCCTATTGGCTATTTTTAACTTAACAGAGAACTAGCCATATCCTTATTAGGTTATTTTAAAAAATTTATCTTAAAGCTTATTGGTTATTTATCCCTCCTAGAGATTATTATATTAGTTTTATAAAACTATTGCCCGTTTTTAATAAAATTTTAGGATAATTTTATTAAGTCGCTAGCAAAATAAATATACAAAACGTACTATTCATAAAAATATTATTACTATTTTTTTATATAATAAAACCTTCTGTTCAACTCAACAGTATAATAAGTTTAACTACTGGACATTATTAAATTCCTATGACATTATTTATATAAATGTACATTATAAGAATATAAAATATTAAATTAGCAACAAAAAAAGGTTATTAAGAACTACAGTATATACGATTGAACAAATAAAGCAAGTGAAGATATAATGATGAACAATCAGAAGTGTGTATTACTCACAACGAGCCTATCGCAATATTTAAATTTTTTTTATCATCAATAATTTAATCTGTTAACGGCAACAAAAAATACAGGACAGTACAAAAACAGTTATAACCAGACGCCAATAAAGATAGTCATTTACCCTACAGTAGTCGCATAGGTCTCTCAGACCCCTTGAGTTTTAAGATTTACTTTTTAATTAAATAAAAAATACCGTAAGTTTTTACACGCCTGTTGTTTTTTGAGGTATTTGGATTAGGATACAGGTCACACTAAACTTTAACTCCTATCTAATTTGAAAATATAAAAAACAAGATCTGCAAGGCCCCTTGCAACTACTGTAGGAAGAAATAAGAGTATGTTAAACTGGCAACTGGAAGAAAAGGCTTATTTATTGGAGCAAAAATATTATGTTGCGATATTATAGGTACCTTTAGTAAATTTTTAGGGTTAATACAAGTAGACCCGCCAAATGTCGAAGTTGAGCTATCCGTTGACTTCGCTGAACAGGAAGACTAAAATAATAATAATACACAATATTAATTATAAATTATTTTTGAATTAGTTATACTCCATTCAGATTTGAAAAGTCCGCAAAGCAATTTCTATAATATTAACATATATTAAAGGAAAAAAAGACAACAATAATAAAATATATAGAAACTTTTATAAAAAAAAACATATAGACGTTAAATAGTAAAAAATAATAAAGACTTGCAGAGGGGGGTCAAACAGTGTGAACCAGCACACGTGGGGGTTGAAACTTCGAAGGATTGTTGGGGTGTTTGTGGAGAGCTCTCAGGCTGAAAATTTAATGAAACGAAAGGGCGCGAAACACGCAAGTTGTCTATAAATATAGTTAGCATTTGGCGCGCAACCTTAATAAAGCGTAGTTACCTCTATTTAAAAGTTTGCAGCGCTCAAATACACCTGGTCTTTTGAAATTAACAACTTTCTTTAGATAAAAAAATTACAACTTAATCTATATATTACAAAAAAAGTCAAGTACGCTCAGACGGAACAAACTTTTCGCTAGGAACAAGGAAGAACAGTAAAAGGCTACAGGAAGTTTCCTAACGATCTCGGCCAAGCACATATATGCACTGGAAATCGCTTGGAAGGTAGATGACCGCCGGCAGCGGCAGCGTAGTGCTCGACGAACACATGGATGGCGGAGAATCGCTTCGACAGTGGGCCGCTTTAAAGGATCTCTTCGCATCATTTCAGCAATCAAATTTTTCAGGGAATCCGAATACTGCGAGGGTAATTCAGGTTGCCATTCTAGTGACGATAAATCCAATTAAAAGTAGATTACTTTAATAATAATAAATAAAACCGTTCCGAAGTTTGCTCCAATTAAGACCTGCACTCGGAAGTTCATAATCACCAACTATCTCCAAAATGGTAATCCCCAAACTTATAAAATTAAAATTTAAAACTAGAAAAGGGCAGAGTATAAACCTGAATATATCGGCTGGCGTTCCGAACTGACCAGCAAGTAGCTCGGGAGCCATATATTTATTATCTCCTTCCTGATAATCGAAGCGACTTTTCTAAAAATTAATAAAGTTTAAAGATTTTATATAAAAATTTATAATAAAATCAATAACTTGCGTGATATCGAAGGCAATTCCATAATCGCCGATTTTTAAATTAAAAAACTCAGAAGAATTAGAAGAGTTTAATTTTTTATCATGTTCGAAAGAAAGAAATATATTAGCGGGTTTAATATCAAGATGAACAATATTATTGTCGTGAATGTGCTTCAGTCCCAAGGTCAGATCGGTAATAAAGTGCCATATTTGATCTTCTGAAATATTTATATTCTCTTCCAAAAATTTTTGTAAGCTTTACAAAAATATGTGAGTTAGCATAAAGTTTAAAAGTTTCTATAAATAATAGTCTTAATACGTTCCTCCCTGACAAAGTTCTGTTTGGATGTAAAGTACACCGTTTTCCTCCCAAGCGCGGTCATACCGAACGCAATGCGGATGGTTCCCCAAAGTCCTTAAAAAATTTACTTCATTCATTTGTAACTGACGATCTCCAGGGCCGCCAAAAGGTTTATTCGAACGTTTTATGGCAAACCATTGTTGGTTTTCTTTATAACGTGCTTTAAAAACATGACCAAACGAGCCTTTCCCAATCTATATGGTAAGGATTAGGTATACAGATCAAAAGGTAAAAATTAAATAACCAAGGCAATATCGTAAAAAGCCTGCTCGAAAAAAGTTCCTGGTTTTGATTTATCATAGAAAGGACTTGTCAACTCTTAATTAATTAAATATAGGTTTTATAGTTATGATTCACCTTAAAAAAAAACGAGTATAACTTTATTAAGTAAGTAAAAGGATTTATAGCAAAACCTTGATCCGATTCAATTTGATCCAATTCAATTCTATGCGGACCGGAAGCATCGCTTTCTAAAGCTCTGAATACCCGACTTACTGGTGTGCTTAATTTGTGAGGCGATTTCGGAATAGTAGATAAATGCAGACTACAACTTCTTACTTCAGAATTATATCGTCGACGTTTTGGTGAGACCATATTTTTTGGAAAAGGAGTTTTCAAACTAAAAGGTAAAAAGGTTGACTGGAACACTGAACTTAAAAAAGCCGAGTTTTCACTAATTGCTTTTCTCGGACAAGTAGTCCGTACGTCTTTCAGAATAACATCTTGGTTATTAAGCGTTATAACTTTCTCACTTGTAAGCTGTGAGGAGCATTCTATAATGTTTCGAGGATATTGAGGAGCTAATTTTTCATTTTTGTTACCTCCAACAGTAGAAAGATCAGTAGTTTGCACGAATTGTGTATTTTTATGATTGTAAAGAGAAAACTTTTCAGTAGTGTTTAACGAAGTTTCGTTGGAAGCTTTCTTGCTAAACTTCTCAACGCCAAATATAGGCTTTGGTAAGTTTTTTAAGCCGCTCAACTGTTTACAACGCTTGGGCACCCGAAACTCGTCAAGCTTTGCATCTGACATTCCAAGCAAGAATTTTGTATAAACCTTTAAAGGCTTAAATTAATCTACAAGTAACCGATATCTCCGGCCTTTGGGCAGCACGCGTTCAATCGCTTGTATCCTATTGACTAATCGTTCCCTTTTCTCACGCTTTTATTTAATCTTTCTTTTGCTGAGAGTTTTATGTAGTCCAAGCATTTTTCCTAAAAAGATGGTATGCGTTTTCTTAAATTTAAACTCAGTTTTTTATAATTTTTTATTAGTCTAAACAAACTGCGTTAACCCTTTTGCACTTAATGAGACGATAAACTTAATTCAACTTCCAGCTATTCATTAGCTTTTATTTTAAAGATAAATTTGTTTTTAAAGTTACACCGAAGATAACAAATCATTTCAGTTTTTTCTCTACTTGACTACTTAACAGTTATAAAGGCTACGTGTCGTAAGTCAATTTAAATTGGGCGTAAGATATTAAACAAAAAACAACACCTTTAAAAAAGTTCCAGTTGTGTTAGGTAATTCAACTAGGTTTTCCAGGGCATAAAAGTCAGCTATTTTTTTCGTGCCTATAATAATTGATTAGAATAAAATTTCCAACTTGAGATTATATAAAAAGAGAGGCAGTACTGTGCAAACTTTAATATGCATTACAAAAATATTTTCTCAAAAAGGGGAGGTGGGGGGTTCAGTTGTTATGTACTTATCAATCGTTTTTATATTTTCTATAAACCCCTTCATGCATAACTTTTTAAATTTTAAGGTTTTAAAACGCAAAGTACCTAAATCCTTTGAAGGCGGGACGATATTCATCTTTATATTAAATTTTTAAATTTATTTAGTTCTTTCCGGTTGGGGGCCTAAACTTAAATCATTTAGGTGGTCTAAAATCTAACCACTAACAATTTATGTAATATATATGATTTTGTAAAAAGTTGTTCAGATTTTTATTAAAAAATTATTAGAAAATGATTGGAAACTTGTAACATAAAAACAGAAGATAGAAGAAAGAGCTGTAATGAATTGCACATCTGTTTTGGATTAAATAAATTTTTGTTAATTCTTAAATAATTTTTTCTTTGCTTCGATTTATGACTTCATGTCTGTTTACCTTCGCATTATATATACGGTACAGAGAAAAGTATGTATTAAGGCACAAAATTAGGACTTGTTCATGTGCGATAAAGTTAAAAAGAAGACACGTATAATAATTGCTTTAGGTCGGCACAGTAATGTTATTATGTGTAGGATTTACCGAGAAATTTTAAAACATGTATATTACATTAAAATGGCTCTTTTATTTTATAAAATTTATAACAATTCCTGAGAACTTCTTCCAATTTCAATATTAGCGCCTATCCTTCGATACTTTATTGTACTTTTCCTCTGATACATAAAATGGTATGGAGAAGCAATATAATAGAGACATAAGTTTAGGATTAAACGAGAACCCTATTAACTATAATGCAGCTTTAATAGGAGCTTCAAAGGTTAAGTTACGTGATAACTATGATTTTTTTTTTGTATACTATAATTACCCAATAAAATCTAATTAACTTAACAAATGAGATTAAAGATGTATTAACTTGAATCACCGATTATCATAAATAAATTGTATTATTTACAAATACTAGTGTGCTGCAAAAATAAGATATTTTAAGAATAATATTATTTTGCTGTAATAGCTATCTGAATCACAAATAAATATATGTCATAAACGAAAAGTTTATAATCCCCTCCCTATTCTTATTAACGTTTCAAAATTAATTCACAGGTTACTAAACAAGTGTGCTTTTTAATATCGCAAAATTTTGATATTTTAGTTGAAGTGAACAATATTTAAGGACCATATTTTTGGTGATCTTTTTTTAGATAAAATTTGACTTGTTAAGCGGTACCTTGACTTAAAGACTGAAACTATTTAGAAGCATTATATCATATTTTATTATAAGCATGGCGTACTACACTCGGTATTAAAAATGCTTAGCCTTATTTACCTCTTTTACAAAAATGGTGAGCGTTTCTTCCTTCTTAAACAATTTAGCACAATTGATAATAAAATAAAAACCCCATTATAATCTTTTTTTGTTAGTGACTATGATCATCCATTAAAATAGTACTGTTATATAGTACATTTTAAACATTCCTTATAATGTTAAATAGCGCACTAAAAAGCAAAATAAAAATAAAAGAGCTAAAATTTTATCCTGTTTACAAGTATAAAGGTTAGTATTACTACGTAGTAGAGATACGAAAAGAGTTTTTAATAACAAAAATTTAATGGCATCAGTAGTTTCAAATAATTCTTAAAATCAGTATAAATACCATATATATTTTTATACTTCAATTTTAAGTTAGTTTTTAATACATTAAATAACTAGGCAAAACGAGTGAAAAAAAAGTTATAAAAAGTTTTTTTATTAGCGTTACTTCTCTAAATACCTATAACTCGAATTCCACTCTCCCGAGAGATCGGTGTATTGAAATTACATTAACTTGTTAGTACAATTTTTTGGTATAGTATAGTTAATTGAAAACAGGTCTCTTTGCTGTTTTGTTTTATATCGAATTTTTTTTTGTCTTTTTTTGTGTGTTTTTTGATATATATGAGGCGATGTAACTATATTATGGTAATAATCATTTAACTTTTTATGATTTATCATTGCGTGGCGTGTGCGTTAGTGTCTCACATTGTTAAAACGCGCGTGCGCATAAAATTTAATGTCTGTAATGTTATTTTTATTAATGTATTTCGGTTATGCTTTATATAATTTTTATTTATGTTATTTTTTAATAGAAGAAAAGGATTAAAAAGAACTGAACTTTACTGAAAACTATCCTATACACCACATGAAGAACTTTTACCGAAAGAAGAGGAGGTTATAGTATTTAGAGCGATCTTAGCATTTTTAACAATACTATTTGCTTCCTTGCCTAAATTACTAAAACACACATATAATTATGCTAATTATTATGTATGTATAAGTGTGTGCTTCTTTGAATTCTAAAAGAAAGCACCATAATGTACATTACTTATTTGTGAAGATAGCACATCTAAATGATCGAGTAGTATGAATTGATGTACCAGTATAGTAATTAATTGGTCGGACTTAAATAAGTAAGAAATTTTTATGAGTTCCGAGCAGTTTTTGAATTAATTTTCTATAACCCAAAAGATATGATGCTGATTATCAATTTGACCCAATTAAAAATCCCCCTCGCATTCGGTGGTTTATCGGGACGCGGTGGGCATTCGATCTCTCTTCATATGTTTCAAGGCAAAGTAAAACTTCTGAACCATTTCTGCGCCAAGTCAGGTGCGTATCGGTTTATGTGCTTTTGGTTTTTGGCGGAGGTATGAAAAACTGCAGCAATTATGGTGAATAATAATAAAAATATTATAATATATAATAGAATCTTTAAGATAGTACCACGGTCCAAACATCGATGAACGGAAATCTTCTCACGCGACTCAGAGTCATAAACTTTTTAAACTTTATTATACTGTAAAAAGTAATACCGAAATGAATAATATAGTAATTGTTTATTATAATAATAGTATATTGAGTGGGTGGGCAATTATTTTATCATTTAAGTTGTTATCATATTCAAAGTACTGATAACTTTACTATTTTTTTAAATATTTTTTATATTTTTATTTTTTAATTTTTTTTAATTTTTGTTTAATAATTATAATGCTTACATATACAAATATATTATACCAGTTTGTAATTTATTTTAAATATATTATAATGAGAAATTTTATTTCATAATTTTCTTTGTTAATATGAACTTTTTCTTTTTAACTTTATCAGTTAAAAAATTATAAAACCTGTTTATTTGTAAAGGTTAAGATTTTTTTGATATTCTAAATGCTGAAATTTTCAGATGGGATCTATTTGACTTTTAAAAAATCGCTTTTTAAAATCTTTATAAACTTCGCCAGGTTTTTTAAATATAATTATAATTAAATTTAGTAGTGAGGGTTATTTTTGGTGTAAAATATGAATTTTATTATGCATTTTGGATGCTTATTTAAAACTCCGGCATCTCATTTGGACTGGAGAAAAGTCTGATAGTCTTCTTTATATTTGACTTAATTTTTTGTCCTTGCTATACTTTTAGGTGGAAACCGAAAGTTACTCCAAACATTTGAAATTTAAGTATATAAAGAATTAACAATTGGAATATGTTTATAAATTTTTTTAATAAATTTATTTATAAATTAATAAATAAAAAGATTTCAAAGTCCTAATTGTAGCATGAAAAAATAACAAAATTTAGTGATAATTTAATAATACTTACGCCAATCATTTATTATCTTTTGAGGCCGTCTTTCTCGCTTTGCTTTAGTGTTTTGTCTTAAATAAGATAGCTAGGGTAAATTATAAGTTAAAACAAGTAGTAAAAAAACAATTTCTAAAATAGTTTGTAGAGAGGTTTGAAAGTTTTTTTGAAGAATTGACGGCGAATAACAAAAAATTATTATATTCTCCCACAATTTATAAAATTGAAGATTTATAAATTCGCTTTTTACTTCGTTCAAAATAATATATTTATCACTCAAAATTTATTTTCTTCGTGTTTTACTATCAGCAAAAAAATATAAATTTCGCTTTAATTTTCGTTTTATTTTAAAGTAAGTGAACTACATTTCATAAACTTTCCTCAAAATTGCGAGATTAAGAAAAAGTACGAAGTAGTATAAAGTTTACCATCTATGATAAAGAGGTAATAGAAGTATATTATAATAAGAAAAAATAAAGGATTTTACTTCCTAAAACCTTAAGTAGTTAAAAAGGTCGTAAATTTTTTAATTTCTAAGTTTACGGTCACTTAAATTTAATGAACTAAAATCCTAATTCATTAATATATTTTCCATAATAAAGTCTTTTTGAATAAAAAGTTAATAAAATAGGTAAAAGACAATATAAAGTAAAAAAGAAGACAGCGGAGTATGATTTTTACAAAAAAAAATAAATTAGTTTAAGTTATTAATGAATTAAATTATTTAGAATAAAACATCATAGCTATGTAAGTTTGCTACAGTCTTTTGGACCTACTTTTCTTAAGTTCAAAAGAAATAACCAAACTCAAGTCAATATCGTGTGCCTAATACCGCATAAACTACGACTAGCGCCTACGCGGTGATACGAGCACAGCTGAAACATAGCATCGTAGACGAAGCTCTCAACGAAGGACTCTTTTTATCCCATCGGCATGTGCTTCGAATTTTATAAGAGGGCTAAAAGGAAATACTCACAATATTATATTAATAATAATAAATTAATATTACATGAATGTAAATAATAATTATAAGTTATAAAGTATTATTATAACAAAAAAATTTAATAATATATATAAAAAACTTATAAGAATATGGTTATATTATAACCATAAGATTAATAATAAATAAATATTAGGAAGAATGTTATTAATAATAGCAATTGCAAAGTGGTGGTTTTTTGTTTGCGGACTTTAATATAAAAAATGACTGCCTTTAAAAATTAGTATAAACAGGCGTGATTTGAACTGCGACGTCCTTATAAAACTGTCATTACTTAATTGTCCCACTTTTACCTTCATTTATATGAGGAGGCTTAGAGACTACAAGAAGTAAAGCTAAAAGCAACAGCTTTAAGTGTGGACTTTTGTGGTGACATGAAATTAATTTCACAAAAAACATGTTCCCTAATCGAGGACAATCTTCTATATTATATTTAGTAGTATTTTTCAGTTTTTTGTCCAGCTTTTATAGGGTGGCTTTAAGATTATTAACGGCCGACACACATTCCTCTGTCCAGATTTGCGAATGCAACAAACACTAAATTTTTTAGGAAACCTCTTAAGTTTTGCTTCAGACAAATTTTTAGCACAGTGCTACGGTATTAACGTAGTGGGTACCCGCCGCTTCATGCCAGTCCAGGCAGTTAATGTATGTCACTTACATTGATAAAGTGTAACTACTACTTAGTATAAGGTAAATTAAATAATATAGGGGTTCGCAGAGCTATAAAGACTTGCGAAGTTTACATAAACATTTTACTTTTAAATTCAGCTTTTTAAAAAACCGTTAACTTTTTAAAAAGTTGCTTATATTAAAACAGTCCGAATTTCCCATATAGACTATTGCGCTTAATTTATTTAAGCGACTTGTTTGTACGTCCGCTTTTTATTGTATTTTTTAATTAACTTTTCTTTCCGTAAAAGTTTGTGTATACATTTTATTGTTTAATAATTTTTGTTCAAGATGCCTAATCATCACTTGAACTTTTAAATAAGTAAACAGAGTTTACATTAGCCCTCAAGAGTAACTTATCTTTTAAGGTTTTAGCAGTTGGGTTGCATACTAATAGATAAAATTTCTTCGTAACCCTTCATCCTTATTCGCTCTATTTATACTTTCGATCCCACTTTACCAGCAAGTTATTAATAAAAAATTTAATTTGGAAGGCCATAAAAAGTATATTAAAAGGAGGCGTTTTGCAATATACCATAGTTTAAAAAAGAAAACCAAGCGTAACTTAAATTCTACTTATGGCAATTAACTGTGCAACTATATTGATTATGTAAAATGAGTAAGAATCCTCTTAAGTCCGCGTCTGTGTGTAAATAGGTAGTAATCTCATTCTAGGAGCCTTTTTTTAAAGCGTTTCACTTGATTAAAGAAAATATTTTTTTAATACCCTTTTAAATTACTAACAGCCTTGAAAATCTCTTAGTACCCTGAGTAATATTATACTCGCGAATCACTTACAACCTGTTTAAGCGTTCTTGTATTCTATGTCGTTAACTCGAACGAGCACCAGGAAACGCCACCGATAAATAATTTTAGAGACGCTTAAAATTAGTAAAAAGGGTAGTATGAGGACACGTAAGTGTGTGGTATTCCTAATATAACAGCTTCACAGAGTTTCCTTAATAACAGAGAAGAATGATGGAACGGTATATTTTACTAAAGCTTATAAAATTTTTCAAATTTGAACAGAAATATATCTTAATTTTGCGCGAGTTAAAATTAATAAAAGATAGAACCATGACCTTTTTAAAGGACTGCCGTTAATCCCATACGCTTTTCCAAAATTAGTATTTTAGTTATACGCCCATCTCTTGTGAGAGAGTTAATCTGAGCGTGAACTCAATTTTCCTCATTTATCTTGTCTTTTTTTTTGTTAGTCGCGATCTCCATTCTTTAAAGTTCACGCTGAAACTTATAATTCCCTTAAAAGTCCAATCGCAACAAAGTTTAAGTTCTACCTTCATAGTAAAACACAAAAAGTTGTGTTATTGCTTTGTGCTTTGTTATTTAAATGATTGGAGATTATTTGTTATAATATTTGTTAATCTACATAATTATAGCTCTTACCAAGGTGAGTGTGGAACATTTCTTGCGGATGTAGTATAAGTAGTGTAGAGCCAAAAGAAATAAGAGCTTATGTAACGTCAACACTATACCGACATATATTCTTCTCCACTATGTCAAAGATTCCTCACTATGCTATAAGATGTGTATGATTTTTATATTTTTGCGAAAGATATCGAGTATAAGCTAAGGGCTTATCTAAGTAATTTGTATTTGAACTTCTCACTTAAAAGTTTTCAGACAGAGAAAAAAAATCAGGGAGGAAGACATAATACACCTCACCTCTATATTCCTCAATTTCTGGAATTCGTTAATGGAATCTAAGATATATAATATTATTAGGGCCGTACCTTTATTTACATTACGAATTACTTCATTTTCAATTAATTTTTGATATTTAACTCTTGCTAATTTTTTTGTGGATACCATTAGCTTCTAAGAGAAGTAGTAAATATCCGGACGAAAAAAAACTTTAGAAAAATCTTTACTCATTTTATTGTGTTGCTCTTGTAAACTTAAAAATTGTGCTAAAAGCTTACGTGATATAAACGATACGTTTTTATCTGATGGTGCTCCTGATTCCTTTTACATCCTGGATATCAAAGGTAATAAGAACAAACTTCTTTTGCAAGAAAGCCCACAATATTTAGTTGAAAAAGCTTTTTTATATATCCAAAAGTAATGTTATTAGAAGGGTACCACTCTTTACTTAATCACCTTAATTATAAAACTGCAGAACATCTTTACAAAAAAAAAAGCTTTTAGTATAAGGTAAAGTTACAAAGACAGAAACAGTCCAAAACCGAAAGTTTATTAATTTTTTTATATTTATTGAAAAAAAAACTTTTAGAGCAACTTTTTTTTTCCTATTTAAAACCCTTATTACATTTAAAACAGAATTAAAGACGAACTTTTTTTATAATAATAATTTTCTGTTATGGTATATAGATAAAAATGTTTCTTACACTTATATACGTTCACCAGTTGTATTCATACATTACCCATCGTAATTATATTAACATTAATTAAAAGAGATTAATAAAGTTGCAATGAGCTCGACTACTTTAAGAGTTGCGGTTAGCTTATCCATTTATAACTAAAAGCATTATTATTAGAATTTCTTAAAAGTTGAATTTATACAATAATATTTTGAAATTAAGTTTATTTAAGAGAGCCCAACTATAGTATGAGCCGTGAGACTTTTCAGGTTATAAGACAAACTAATAATTGCAAAGTAGATTTAAGAATATTTTTATAAATATAATAAAAGTAACTATTATTAGTTCTAAGTTGTTAAGCTTACAAACTTTGTTGGCTATGTTTTGGAATTATTATTTTTTATTTATATTATTTTATTCTGTCCATTAACAACTTTATATTTTTATGTTTTTTTTTAACCCTACATCTTCCCGTACTTATAAATATTCAGCTCACTGCACTGTTTCAGTGGAGTTAATTTTGAGTAAACACTGGCTCGTATAGTTTTTAGCTCGTAATTACTAATTTGCACAAATAATATTTATTTAGTATATACAACGCACGCTTTAAAAATGTTATAACCCCGTTTGCCCCTCTAACCCGGTATTTTTACTAATTGCCGGTTTGCTGCACTTTTTTATAGGTAAGCTTATTTGTAAAAATTTTCTCGAACTCTAAGTAAATTGCTATTGTTTTTAAAGCTCTAATTAATACTTTTTTTACTTTAGAAAATTAATAATATAATATTTTGTTTAATTAACTATTGAGAAGAAAATTTGTTTAGTTAATAATATATAGTTTTTATTAATTCTTGTTTTGTAGGAAAACACACAGTGTAGAAAGAAAACCTAAGAAAAATGGTGTTGGTTGATCTTGGTCGCCGCCTTGCAGGAGCTCTTCAACGAATGAATAAAACACTTGTGGTTGATGAATCAGCGCTTGACGATTGTCTTAAAGAAATCTGCAACGCTTTGATTGAATCGGACGTCAATGTGAAGTATATTAATATATTAGTAACTATATTAAAGTTTTAATAAAAATATATTTACCTACCTGTAACTGAACTATATTTTACCTCTAGGCTTGTTTCTAAACTTCGGGCTAACGTCAAAAACGTTGTAAATATGCAGCATATCCCACCTGGTGTCAATCGGCGTAACTTATTAAAAGGCGCTGGTTAGTTTTATATAAAGTTTATTAAAATTTTAAATGCTTTTTATAATTTATTTTATAGTTTTGGATGAACTGTGTAAATTAGTGGATGGAGGGACTCCTTACCAAATTCAACGAGGAAAAACTAATGTTATTATGTTAGTGGGCTTGCAAGGTGCTGGAAAAACGACGACTTGCACTAAAGTTAATAGTTTAATTAATATTTTATTTTGTAAAAAAATTAAAAAGTATATAACAAAAATTTTTTCAACTATTTATATTTTTATTTAGTAAATTTTAATTTTAAGTTTTTTAAATTTTGGTTAAGCTTGCCTACTATTATATGAAGTCGAAGCGTCTGAAAACGGCTCTTGTGTGCACTGATACTTACAGAGCAGGTGCTTTTGATCAACTAAAGCAAAATGCTACTAAAGCAAACATCCCTTTTTTCGGAAGGTATTAATTAATTAATTAATCTGCTTTATTTCATTCACAATTTTAAAATTTCGTATATATATATTTTTTTAAATTCAAAGTTTATTATTTTATTTTATATTTAGCTTTATTATTTATAACTTTTCAATTTATTTTTGCTTTTTATATTTACTTGTTTTAATGTTTTTATTTTCTTTTAAATTAATTCTATATTTAAATAATTTAATTTAAACGTGAAAATATTTAATTGGCTTTAAAGTAATTCATTATTCTTATTTACTGAATCTATCGAGGCTCACCTGTATTGTTTCAGTTCAGTTATAAATATTTTTCTTTATAATTATTTCAATTATTATTTTTATTATAAATAAAGTTTTTTTTAATATTTATACATATTTTTATATATATTTATTTTTTTTTTTCAAATTATATTAAATCGTTTGCGCTTGACTTTATATTTAAAATTTCGATCTCCTTTACGCGTGCCAATATTACTATTTTGTTAGTATTATAAATAATTTATCGCAAAAAAATAATAATTTGCAAGTCGTGATTCTTATTTTTTTGTTAGATTCTATATATAAATTTTACTTACTATTATAGAAAAAGACTTATGTGGTTGACGAAAGCACTACTTTTATTTAATTAATTTTTAAATTAAAAATTCATTTTGCTGAAGATCTTTTTTGTCAAATTTTTTTTTGTTAGAACGACTTTTCTTTTGTTACTCAAAAGTTTTTTAGTTTTATAAATTATGTTTAAAATGTTTGTTTTAATTTAATTATAATCTTTACTAATTAACAAGTTTTTATGTATTTGTAGAAAATAGTATACTGTAAGTTTTTTAATTAAATTTCTTTCTGATCTTTATTAAAATCGGTTTTTCTATTGCACAGGAACTACTTTTTTACTATTACTCAAAAGTATTGTTTATAATTTATTTTTAAATTTTTGTTTTAATTTGATTATAATTTTTACTTTTTATGAGATCTCATTTAAATGTAGAAGATAGTACTTCAGTAAATTTAATATATAATTCATTTTGCTGGAGATCTTTTTTAATTAAATTTTCTATACGCGCTAAAACGATTTTTCTACTATAATTTGGAATATTTTTTGTTCTTTGTTTTAAATTTACTGAAAATCAATTGCTTCTATATATTCGATTTGGCTTCAAATATTGACCAATAAAACTTGTAAAATTCTATATTACTCCAATCAATCTTTTTCTTAGGTATGGGCTACTTATCGTTTTGTTACATATAAGTCCCCCATTAGTTAGTACTTGGCCCCATTAACGATTATTTTGCACCGGAAAGTTTACAATATTTTACTTGTATATTTATTATATGAATTTTTATACATCGTTATAGTTATGTTTACTTTTTCTCAAAAATTTTATTATTTCCATTTGTAATTAACATGCTCCCTTTACTTTTTGTTTTTTTTTATTTACTATCATAATAAATTTCCTTCTTTCAGCTACACCGAAACTGATCCTGTTATTATTGCTCAAAAAGGAGTTCAAAAGTTTAAACAAGAAGTTTTTATATTATTAAATTTAGCATTATTATTTTGTATAAAAAATAAATGATTGGGTTTACCCAACAAACTATTATAGTTTAAAAGTTGGCGGATCATACGAAATAACTGATAATGTTCTAAAGAAACAATAAATTAGCCAATTAAAAGATTAAAAATTTAAAATAAAAAACTATTACGAATAACTGTTGAAGTATTTTTGGTGATAAATAATAATATAAATTAACCAATCAAAAGGTAAAAAAATGTTGAGTAGCCAATAATAAATAAATATATTTTCCGAGTGAATTTTTAGGTATAAAATATTAAAAACGTTAACGAAAATTTAATTGTTAAAGTATTAATGCTGTAAAAATTATAAAAAAAAAAATTAACCGATCAAAGGTAAAATTAATATAAAGTAGCCAATGAAAATTAAATACTCGAGTATATATTTTTTGAGATATTAATAAAATTATAAAAAACTAACGAATACTTAATTAAAGTAGTAACTATTAAAATTATTAAATTAGCCATTCAAAAACTAAATATAAAGTAGCCAATTAAAAACTAAATATATCTTTTAATGAAATTTTTTTTGGTATATCGATAAATATATATAAAATTTTAACGAATAAATAATTATAAAAATATTTATGGCATAAAAAATAACCATTAGATCAACCAATAAAAGAATTTAAAGTTTATAAAAATATTTTATTAGCTATCGTAAGTATAACGTTTGGGTGTTAAAGCCAAAAGAAAAATTTAAATACATTTTATAGTAAAGCAACTAATATTTTTATTTATAACAAATAATGTTGGATGTTAAAAATTAGTGATTGTAAAAAGCTAGTAAAAAATTAATATACTTCATAGAAATTTGAAGTCGTTATCATTGATACGAGCGGAAGACACAAGCAGGAAGATTCATTATTTGAAGAAATGTTGCAGATAAGCCAATCCGTAACTCCCGATAATATTATTTTTGTTATGGATGCCAGCATTGGCCAAGTAATGTATTTAGTGTACTTATTTTTCTACACGTGAGAAGCCCTTTTTTTAATGTTTACTTTGATTTAATATTAAACAAGCTTTTTTTATGTATACAAGTAAACACTAGAGTTAAAGTTAATATAATTCTGCGTAATAATAAAAATAATAATATTAAAATTTTATATCTACGTGATTTGCTAATTATAAGCTTTTTAATTGGTCTAAAAAAATACATTAATATTATATCCAATCAGGCTGCTGAGTCGCAAGCCAGGGCTTTTAAAGAGCAAGTCCCAGTGGCGGGCGTGATTATAACGAAGCTAGACGGCCACGCTAAAGGCGGCGGCGCCTTGTCTGCCGTGGCCGCCACCGAGTCGCCAATCCTGTTTATCGGCACTGGAGAACGCGTGACTGATTTGGAAGACTTTGTGCCCCGCTCTTTTATTCGGTTCTCTCCTTGATTATTATTATTATTGTTATGAAAGTTTAAATTTTTTTGTTAAAGTTATTATTATTGCTTATATATTAAAGAGTTTCTTATTGCCTAATAAAAGTTTTCTTTTGTTACAGACTATAATTTCTACAAATTTTATGCTGAGCAATTAAAGAAGTTTATAATAAAAAATATTTTTTAAATTTAAAATGATTTCTGGAAAACTTTATATATTAGTAAAGAATTACAGGAGCAACAATATTCCGGATATGCCGATCCGTGCTTTTACCAATAAAAATAAGCTTGAAAACAGTTGCGTTGCTTATATTGGCTGGAGCTGAATTTAATTTAATAATAGTTTTCAGTAGTTCCCCTATGGCGGTTTTTTTAAGGAAATTTTTTAATTAAATAAAATTTTTTTATAGCCTGTAATTTTATATCGTGCCTTATTTATTTTGTTAAAAAACCTTTATGGAGAAATTTTTATATTTCTTTAATAAAACTGATTAGATTTAAAATTTTCTGATTACTTACAGCAAACTTCTTGGGGAAGGCGATTTGGGTAAGCTTTTTGAAATTGTGAAGGGAGCGAAGATCAAAGATAATCCCGAGCTTATTGCGAAGGTAAATTATAATAAAGTTTATAAATTAAAGTCACGTGTTTGTTTTTATTGGTTATTATTATTTTTCGTAATTTCCTCTTAAAATTGATCATCTACAAATTTGGCTCTGACGTTGCCTTTTATATCTTCAAAGTTTGAATTATTTTCGAAATGGTGCAAATTTATTGGTTACTTGTAAAATGAATCTGTATTAATTCCCATCTCATTTTGGGTACTATTTTAATTTTTCATTTGGCGTAATTGAGAAGGTTAGGATTCTTAATTTTATTAAAATTTTGTTTTTAATTTTTAAAAATATAATAAGTGAAGAACTAGTGATTAAAGATGTGTAAAAGTAATTTCTTATAATTCCATGCGATTGGCAATGTTCTGCTGAAAACATTGCTATACCTCCCGCTCACTGGGCTTCGTGCTTTATTTAAAAAAATTAAATTTTTAAAGGATTAATTAACGATATATGATTAAATATAAACTTTTTAGAAAAATAATAATTAACGACAATAATAGTATAATAGTTAACAAAACCTTTACTATAAAATAGTATAACCATAAACCTTTTACAAGTAGAAGTGAAAATAAAAATTTGTTAAAGTTTTACTATAAAATAATAATTATAAATCTTGTTTTTAAAAAATTATTAAAAAAAAAAAGTAAACTTTAATAGTAGTGTCTGCACATAACTAATAGCTGCAGATATGCTCTTCTTCAACATTTATTGTCCATTCCAAATTTTTTCAGTTTAGTATTACTTCTAATTAAAAGGAAAGAAAGGAAATATTAAAATATTATATAAATTATATAAGTGGGAAGAACTTGTTTACTAGTAACATCAGTCATACTAATAACTACAAAGGTGTCTTTCTTTAACAAATATCAAATTCTTTTTTTTATTATTATTTTGGAATTACTAACAATTTATAATGGGGAAGAAAGGATCTGTATTATTGTCTATATAAACCGTGAAAAACTTTATGTTACCACATAACTAATAGTCACAAAGATGCCTTTCTCCTACTATAATTGTAGTCCTTTTCACTTTTTTTATATTGTTGTATTAATTATTAAAAATAATTTGAGATGGAAAGAAAGGAAATACGTTAACTTGTGTATAAGCGGTAAATACTTCAACAGTGATGTTAGTACATAACTAATAGCTACAAAGTTTTCCCAAATTCTACTTTTATTAATTTTGTATTACTTATATCAATAATAATGAGATGGAGAGAAAGAAAAAGTATTATTATTTATATAAGCCACGAAAATCTTTACTAATAAAGTTAAGACATAACTAACTACAAAAATGCTTTTGTTCAACAATAATTGTAGTCCATTTCTTATTTTTAGTAATTCCATATGGCTCCAGCGGATTACATTTATATTATTATTTTAGCTTAAAAACAAACGTTTCGATTTACGCGATTTTTACGAACAACTTCAAAATCTTACTAAACTTGGTCCTTTGGGTAATTTCTTTAACCTGTTATTTTCTTCTTTATAAATTGTATTTTTATTAGTATTTTGTTCTTATTTGCATTTACACTTAATTTTTTGTTTTTATTTTTACTTTCTTATCTTTTTATGCATAATATTATATATTTATGATATAAATTAACTTTTTTAGATAAAATAATCAGCTTACTTCCGGGATTTCAGGAGTATATGCCTGATAATTCTGCCGAAGTTCGTTTGTAAAAGTTTATAATTCCTTGCAGATTTTAAGATTTAAAATTTCTTCATTTTTTTTCGCATTAGTTGGCTTTACCGCTTTATAAAATATTTATATTAATTTTTTTATTTTTAATAAAAAAATAAATTTACATTCTTTGAGATTATCTTGATCCATTAAAAAAATTATCTTGGGTTTTGCATATTTTAATTACTTTTGTACTTCTGTATAAGTATCATTCTGTAGCATTTTGCTTAATAATTACTTTTAAAGTTATAATAACTTTTATTTATAATAAAATTAGATTCTTTTTTAAAAAATTGTTTTCATAGTAAATATTATTAATTATATTCTTAGAAACGTTAAAATTATATAAATTCTTTTTTAATTTTTTCATATTTACGTTAATTTTAGAAATCTAGTAGTTTTTACGTATTTTTGATGTCTCTTTAAAATTACGTACACTTTCTAATTTATACGACTTTCTATTAATAATTTATACAAATAATTTATTTTGAATTATTTATCTATTTTTAATGTAAAGTTTTTTTTTAAAAAAAAAGTTTATCAATTTTATTAATTAAATTTACTTCTTTAACAAGCTTATAAAAAGTTTGCTAATTTTATTAATTAGAGCTTTCCGTTTAAACGTTATATGACAATTATGGACAGCATGACCGACAAGGAGCTCGACAGCGACGGAAACTTTTTTTTCGATAAAAATTTACACGTAAAAAAAATACTCTCAAAAAAAATTAAATATTCTAATTTTATAAATTAAATTTTAATTTTAATTCTTCTTTGGATTTATAAATTAAAAATTAAAAAACAATAAATTATAAATTATGAATATTAAAATTAATTAAAAAACAAATAATTGTAATAATAATTTTTTAACTTAAAGTAAAATCTATACCATTTAATAAAAATAAAGATTTTTACGTCGTAAGATTTAGAAAAGTTTAATACTAAAATTAAACTAATTTTAGTTATTATTTCATTGAAGTTAAGAAACTTAAATATATATGATAAATGGTAAAAGATAATCTAAAAAAAAATAACTTTATATTACTTTTTAATAATTATATAAGTCGAGTCTGAAAAATACTATTAAAGTTATGTAATAGTCCAAAAATTAAATATTAATAAGGTATTATGATATTTTTGGTGTTTATATAAATTTAAATTTTAAAAATTTATAATAAAAAAAATTATTAATAAAAAATAAATTTAGAAGAAAATTTAAATTTATAATTATATTTAAGTTAATTTAAAATTAACCATCTGGAAAATCATATAAAATAAAAAAATAAAATATAAATTTAGAAGAATATTAATATTCAGTTCAAATATTTTTGCACTAATTTAAAATAACAATCTGGAAAATATATATTAAAATTTTTATTAAAAAAAATTAGATTTTATTATTTAAAAATAATTCAAACGTAATAGTAAATATCACCAAGAACTGTTACCATTTCTAATTTATTTACTTATTGTTATAGTTTACATTATTTTTTTACTAAAGTAACACGAAATTATTATATGCTTATAAATATTTATAAATTAAATTTTTTTATTTTTGTAAAGAGTTTACTTCGTAATTTTTTCTGAATTTTATTATTTATCGTTGATAGCAATTAATTTACTTTTAATAATTATAATTATTCTTAAGTAAATTATTTTTTTATACAAATATGCAAGAATTTATTTAGGGTTTTTTTCAAGCAAATTGGGAAAAATTATTTTTTTAATTAATAATATTTTTAAGTAAATTTTTTTATACTAATGCAAAGTTTAAAGGAAAACAAAAGTTTTTGATTTTGAAGAGTTTTTAAGTTAATTAAAATTTTAAAATTAAATTTTATTTTGAAATTTAAATTTAAAATATTGCACATGAGCATCCCCTCTTTTGAGCACGTGTCCGTTTGGTTTCTTTTTCTTAACGCTCGATCGATACTAATTTCGAGTCACTAAATCTTTTCCGATTATTTTTTTTAATTTTATTTTTCTTAAAAAAATAAATTTTGTAGGAAAAAAAAGTTATATTTTTTGTCTATTGCTTTATTTATTTTTTTGTGCCTTTAGGTTAAAATTTATTCAGAATATAAAAATATTATAAAATGTAAAAAAATTGGAAAAATAACGTATCTGTTTAAAATCGCTGTAAATTTTAATATAGTTTTGTTTATATATATATAAATTTAATAGTTGAATTGCTGCAAGATTTTTCAAGTTCGGAACTTTTTAATAGTTTGTGTTGAGGGTAACAAAATTTACAATTGGCATACACTACGTGACTTTCAGATTGTTTGAAACTTAACAAAATTTTATTAAAGTTTATTTAAAATTATTAGAATTGAAATTTTTATTATTACTAGTTGTTAATTTGTCTTTTTTCTAACTATTAGTAAATTTTAATTTTTTTTTTTTAGATTAATTTATTTTGTTTTGTTTTATAATAAAAAAAAGTTTTGTTTTTTATTTGATTTATTATTTTTAATTTTCATCAAATTTTATAAAAGCTTTAAATTTATAGTATTTATAATTATCCTAGTTTATATTTTTTTTATTCATTTTTGATCATTTTAATATTTTTTTTTTAGTTATTGATTTAATATTTCGTTAAATGATTATAATATTTAGTTTTATAAAATACTATTAACTATTTGTTTGTATTTTATTAATTATCTTTTATAATTTTTTATTTAATTTATTGTATTATTTATTATAACTAAAGATATTTATGCCGTTTGATTGATAATTATATTTTGATAAAAATCTTAATCATTATTTAATCTACATCATCAAATTTAAAACTTTTTTTAATATATTTTTTGCATAATAATTAATTTTTTAAGATTATTTTCTCAATAAGACTTCCCGCATTCGAAGGGTTTCCCGCGGCTCCGGCTGCAACGAACTTTTTGTAAAAGAATTACTTTTGCAGTACAAGAAAATTGGAAAACTTTTTTCCTCAGTGGATCTAAATAGCAGCTATTCACGTGCTTCTCCTAAAGATAAGCAGAAATTTACATCTCAGTTAGCTGGCATGGTGCATCCGGGCGTCATCCAGCAATTGGGTTTTTTTTTTTTAATTTTTCTTTTTATAAATTTAAGGTTATCATTATTTTTTTTATTAAAAATCATTTTGTTAAACGCGAATTTGTGAATTTTACAAAGAAATTACTTATTTTTTTTAGGTGGGCAGAACAACTTTCAAGGTTGGCTGAATAATTTAATGCTCAATTTTGGTGAAATATAGTATAATTTTAATTTTTTATTTTAGCTTTACTTGTTTTTTTTAGAGGCTAACGAAGAAGAATCGCCTTTAAAAAACTCGAACAATCTAAAAGAGGTGGTCGCAAGGTTCTACGAAGCCGCGGAAGATCATAATTGATTAAAATTTTAAATAAAAATAATAAATCGAAGTTTTATGTTTTATTTTTTGTGACGTTTATAATGCAGTGGAAACTTGTTTTATTTTTATACATCTTTATTATAAAATAAAATTTACTTAAAAGTAATTTTCTATTTAAAAAAAAAGATTATAACTATTTAACATTTAATGAAATATAGACAATAAATAAAAGTGATTTATAATATTTTTTTCTTGCTCTAGTTTTGCTATGGAAAAGATTTAGGTTGAAATATTATTACTACGCGTTCTAAATAATTACAATAATAGTTATTTGAGAGAAAAAAAGTTAAAGTTAATAATGGTGAGATGCTTCTGGTTTTAGATCTTTTAGAAAATTTTTTATAACTTATTAAAGTATCCTTCTTACTTTGTATTTGTAAAACTTCCACGACTTTTTTTTAATTATATGTCTTGCTAATTCTATTTCGATAAACACTAAAGAAACACTTTAAAATTAAATAGAACATTCGCTATTTTACAGGTTGTCGTTACGATAATTTAGTTTAAATTTTTAGTTAGTAATAACACTAAATTTTATTAAGTGTAGTAAAACTTGAAAATCTTTAATAAAAGTTATATTCTTTAATATTTTAAGTTGAAAAATTATAAATATATTAAAATTATAATATATTCTCTAAACTTTATATATATTTTACGTGTAATTCTGGTAATATTACGACTACCTTTAAATAAACAATAAATCCGCACTGGTTTGTTAAATTCGGTGTAACAATTTGCTACTATAAATACTGGATAGAAACTTTCACAGAGGCAGTTTAGTTTTCGTGAGTAGCGTGTTTAGTAAAATCTGTAAACCTTTACATTGAAGTTATAAAAAGCATTAGGGTAAAGCATGATACAAGACTGGTTTGTTTTCTTTACAATACAAATGATTAGTCTTAGTAGATTTTAAATTAAAAAACTAATTTTATTTAAATTATAGGCTTCTAGAGCTACTATAGCGAAAGTTCACTCGCTCAACCACAACGGTTGGTTGCTACAATTAAAATTTCAGCGGCCTCGTTGTATACTTTTAGTAAATATTTGAGTTATCTTAAAAACAATTTTTTTCTGCGACGCCCTTTATTTACACTTTAATTTCTATTACTGCATACTCCTTAGAATAAATTTGTATTACTTTCCGTATTAATTGTTTAAGCTACGTGCCATATAAATATTACGCAGCTTTAAGAAACTGCCTACCCGAACTCTCAGTTTACTTCCAAAAAATATTTTTGTAATTTTACCGAACTTTACTTAAAGGTTAAGCTGCGAACACTGAGAGTGCCAGGTAGCGTGCAATAAAAAATCTAAGACGAAACTTTAAAAGTTTATAACTAAGGTTTTGGATTATACGAACTCAGGTCTGTAATAATAACAAGAAATTAGAGTTTATTCAGACGAAGCGAAGTACAAGCATTTGACTTCAATATGGAAGGGATTTTGTGAGAATTCCTTAGAGCAACTAACATTAATAATTTAAAAACGTGTTATAATAATTTTTAGTGAACTACTTTTTGCTTCGTTGCCTCACTATGCGTGTGCTACTTTCAACAATTAGAGTTTGACTTCTCTCCAAAGAATATTGTTTACCATTAAAAGTTATATCAATTCTTTATGAGCCTTATTTATAAACTCTTGACTCAGGCAGGCTATAAAATTAAAAACTTTTAAACTTTACAGAATAGAAAAAATATATAATATTTTTCTTTTTATAAGAAAAATTACTTATTCGCATAGAATACGTAGACAGTTTATTAAGCTTTAACAAGTCAGTAAATGGAGTTTGGCAGCGTTGAGGTTATCGAATATCAAACGAACTTCGCAATAGAATTAATTATTTTTCGTGTTGAAGAACTCCTATTAAAAATTTTAAAAATCTGCCTCTTTGTGCAATCCTGTCTCGCAGTTATTATCTTTTACTTACTCTCTATAGGGTGCACTTCGTTTCAATAACGTATTTAACTTTGATATGCAGTGTATAAATGCTAATTTATTTGTAAATTTTCAAATACGTTTACAGGTGAATAGTTGGATCGCTTACCGAAGTTAACTTTTTAAATAATTTATTTTACTGCGTAAAAGGTTAAAAATGGAATGGTCGCCCCACCGAGAGTTAACTGTTTCGCAGTTACTAATAACACACTTAATAAGGACATACCTACTATTCTATAAATTAATAAAAACAGAAACATTACGTTTTAACCTTTAATAACATTTACTAAACTAGAACTATTTTTTATCTATAAATTAAAGTAAAATACGCTATTTCTAAAATAAAAATGACTTAACCTCAAAAGAAGGAAGAGAGCTAATTTGAAACTAACATAGGTGTACGCGCTCAGGACCTGTAACAGTTACTCTAGATCAAGTAATTTTTTAAATTAAAACAATTATTGTTATTGAGAGAACAACATAAAACCCAACAGTAGTAGCCCTTTTTTTAAATCTAAAAAACTATACTTGATCTAGGACTAAAGCTTCCTAACATTGATACTCTTAATATCTTAAGATTTTGAAAGAGTAGTAAAAGAAAAGTTGGAAGATAGTTTTTTTCCCATTTTTAATATATAACACTTAACTATTTATAAAAGCTTTATAAAGCTCTATCTTGAACTTTTTTTTTTAACTTTATATGAATTATTATAACGCTTTTTTACAAATGTAGTGAATGAAGTAAAAACACATATAATAATGTAAATTATATTAATCAAACATTTATGAAAGCTATAGCACTTCTAAATTTTAAATAAAACTAAGTAGAAACCGTAAAATTTTTCTTAAAAAACTATTTTTATTTTCATTATAGATTGATAAAAAATTTCACTTTTTTTCTAAAATTTACAGTTTCTGTCAAATATTATAGATTATTTCTCTTCCTGTTCAACTTGGGACATAAGTTGGGTTATATTGGCCTCTAAAGCGTCGACTCGGTTTCCTAAATTATTTATATTCAAGTTAGTAAATTTGGGGTAGGAAAAGAAATAATCCCTTATAATTTTTTTACCCATTTCCTCAATTCTTTGTATAATTTGATCGCTCATAGTTTGAAATCTAATTAAGTTTAACTAGATCAACTTGTTTAAAAAAGACTTACTACGACCTAGTAGTCAACCGAGATAAAGTATTTTTAATAAAAATAGAAAAATCTTCCTCAACGTCAATATCTTCCTCCGGGCCTTTAGGAGATATTAAATTGTCTTGAAAGTTTTTATCTAACTCCATACTACTTTAAAGCTGATATCAAACTGGCACAAGGAAGGGGGGAAGAACACATATACGCCCCGCTGACGACAATCCATTTTCACTAACCGCTAGTCGGCAATTAAATACTGATTGTACCCCCCGGTGTTAGGACATTCACTTACTGAAACAAATTTTGAAATAGTTTAGGCAAACCACTTAACATTTTAAGAGTACGACAGTAAGCCACTTTATGTACGCTTTTTAATATACCGTAGAATGCTTGGCTCCCTTATTTCCTACCTTTTAAGTAATTCGCTCTTAATAGGTCTTAAACTCTACACTTCACTAAACTTTTATCTTTACTTAAGCATTTTTATTTACAATTAAAGGTTTAGGCTGTTTTAGTTTGACTTGGCTTCTATCCTTTGTAAATCGCAGAGCCGCTTGCGTTATACTCAAAGTTCAGTTGTACTTAGAAAGTTTCGCGGTAATGTTTATAAGTAGGGACGCCGTTTGGCCGACACAACCCGATCCAGACCTGATAAATAAACGGTTTAAAGCCTCTTATATTCTTTTCTATGTTTTTTTTGCAATGAAGAATTCTTTACGCATTTAGGGAAGTACAAAATAAGCGACTAATTTTTATTCGACATGGAGAAAGTGAATGGAATGAGGTGTTCAACCGAGGTTTTCATCTGACAGCAATCTACCGCTTTTGTAGAGCTTTCTTTAAAGAAATCTGTTTGTTTGCCACAGAAGATTCTATTTTCATAGATTCACCTTTAAGCCCGCTAGGTAATTCCTTAATTTGTTATATCGCTTATATCCTTTTTTGAAAGAGTTTAACCCACTAATATTAGGTTTTAAGCAGGCTAAAGATTTACAAGCATTTATTAAAGAAGCGCCACCACTCAGCCCAGACCGAGAAATTTTAAAAGGTATGCAGTAGTTTCGCTTTACTCCGTAAACTTAGGAGTTATAATAGTCTTTTGTATATCTCAGGAGAATTTGGCGCTAGCGAATCAGTACTTGTATGCTCGAATCTAAGAAGGTGACCACTAGCATACAACCGCATAACTTTTTAAGTTAAATATTATTATAATAATTTTTAGGGCATTAGCAACTCTTGTTGTTGGATTTCAGGAACGACTAAAGAAAACGAGTGAGAAGATCCTAGTGTTGACCTTTCTTCAAGAAATAAGCCGAAACGTAGATGCCACTTCTTTAACGCCTCATTCCGCTATCCCACATTTTTTTGTACCCGAAAATGAGTTACCGGCTAACTATAATCCCGAAAAGATGTTTGATACTGAACGTATAACCTCTCTATATTTAGGCATATTCTTATAACCCACCTGTGGTCTTTATGTCAAAATACTTTTGCCTTTAATTCATTTTTTTTACTAAATATGCAAAATTGCGCCAGTAAACATTGGAAACAAATCCATATTCTGCAACGGGCTCACGCGAATGAGGGCCTTCTGCGGATGGGCTTTCAGTAGACACGAGCCTGTTATCGTCGTTGGAAGTGGCCATTCACTCTGGTTCCGTTCCTTTTTTCGAACTTTTCTCCCCCATAGGTAAGAGAAGTTTCCCTTTCTACCTCGCTGCCCCAAATTATTTTTCCCGCCAAAAAAGTTCCCGCCACATTTCCAAAAGTAGGAAGTTGCAAAACTGCTCTGTTGTAGCGTTTAACATAGCGCAAGGGACCCACGACGACCAGAATCTGTACAGAATCGAGCCTAATTCCATCGTTGAGATCTACAAAGGCTTTCAATAACACCCGGAAGGCAACAAGCAAAATCATATCGTCTTAAAAGCTAAATAACGCAGATTATTACAAAAAACCGGCGTCGAGGCAAATTCAAGAAACGATTACTTTAGTTGAACACAATACGTTTAACACTTTTACATAATAAAAATTAACTTTATTTATAAACTTTTTTACACTAATTAACTCCTAAACAAATTCGAAAAGATCTCTTTTTCTCTCTCATCCTGAATTTTAATTTTCTTTAAGACTTTACGAAGTTCCATGGCCACCGCTCTATTATCCGGCTCAAGTTCTTTCGCTCTCTAATTATAAATTGAATTTTTGAATCGTAGAAGGATTTATTATTTTACACAAAAACCTCCAAATCTTGTTTAGCCTCCAACTCTTCGGAGAGTTCGGAAAGCGCCTGTGCGCGTCGGAAAAGTGCTTTTACGTTATTACTATCCTTTTCAAGAACCTAAAAACAATCAGATTACTCTAAAAAAATAATCAAAAAAACACAAATCTGTACTTTTGTACAGTTCTCAATAGCCTTCTTATAAAGTTTCAGTTTCAGTTGGCAGAGAGAAAGATTCGAAGTGCATAATAACCTGCGCGAAAGAATCTCAATAATAATAAACAAGCTACCATTAATCTTTTACTTTAATTGTTTCATCTCTCCTTCCTGCGCGTCGTTGTCCATGGAAGACCCGCCATCTGCCAAACTAACACACTTTTCATAGCAACGAGCAGCCAGCCGGATTTTCCCTAAAAAATAAAAAAATATATTTTTTTTAATAAGTAGAGTCTAAGTAAAATACCGGTATTGAAAAGATCGCCCGCTTTGGCCTTAAGCTCTTGAGCCCTTGATAACTTCTCTTCGCGAGAAAGCTCCCATGAATCTTTTTCTTTCTCAAAATCATTCAAACACACGAGCACGCGCAGCTCCCCCAACGCGGGATCAGAAGCATCTCTTTGGGGGGGTTGTACTATAATAGTAGCTTTCTCGCCTGCAAAAAAAAGTTAATAAAATTATTTAATAGATCATGTTACTGAAAAACCTTTTTTCATGCCCTCAAGGGCCTCTGTAACGCCGTACTCCACAGTTCCGCTTATTAGCGTGAACTCCAATTCTTCATGTGGGCCTGTAAAAATTAAAAAAAGAGACTTCAAAGTATATATATAAAACTCATTAAAAAATTGTCACCTTCTGGAAGAAGTTGATAAGTAATCTTAACAAGTGAGGTCAAGCCGGGGGTGCTGTAACCCTCGCCAGGTGCATGAATAAGTTTGCGAATCCCCTCGCTTACTTCAACTTCCTTTAATAATAATTAATACTTCATTAAAAAAAAGTTAAAAGCATTTCTTACTTCAGTCCACGAGAGAAGCTTAACTCGGAAAGTAATTCTTTCATCTTCCACAGCAAAATGAGACCCGGCCAATTCCTTTGCGCACGTTATTAAGGAAATTTCTCCTAATTTCATCTTTTTAACGCATTGAACAACGCCTATTAAAAAATATTAAAAATAAATTTAATTTATAAAAAATTAATAAACCATTAGGAAGTTTATCATCTTCTTTAAGTGCAGCTTCAAATTCCTTTTTTTCTATAACAACTTCGTTGTTTCGAATAACTTCCAAATCCAGAACTACCGTTTCACCCTCTTTCGGAGATTTGTAACCCTTCCCTTCCTTAACTATTTTTTAAAAAGGCGTCCATCGCCTAAAACGTCGTCCCCATCAATCCAATTTAGAAGTTCAACTTCAAAGTTAAGTATTGAGTCGGGAGGAATTTTGCCCGAGCCTTCCTTCCCGTACGCGTAATCGGGATGACAAGTGAGCAAAGCAAGCTCTCCCTTTTTCATAGTAGCAACACCTATGTCCCAACCCTTTATCACGGAACCTTTCTGTTATTATAGTAATTTATAAAATCACCAAAGTTTTAACAAAAAAGTTAAGTTTAGTAAAAAATATTACGCCAAGCTTGAAGCGAAAAGGCTCATTACGAGAACGACTACTGTCAAACTCGGAGCCATCCGAGGCGAGTGTCCCAACATAGTGCACAATTACAGTACTGCCTGCTGGTGGACAGCCTGAACTAATTTCTCCAGGCCTCAAAATCTTTTTCGTTACACCACTATCATCAGTTAGCGGGACGGGATCCTCGACATTGGGTATCATTTTAGCAGAAAACTATGAGTAGAAAAATTTAATATAAAAGTTATTAGAAAAAAAAAACAACGACTCTGAGAGCGGATAAGGCTTGCAGAAGGAGTAAGATACTAAGAACTCACACAGAAAAAAAATAAGGCAGAAGTCTACCCGCCCCACTTTTTCAATATAAATACTTTAAGTGAGCAACAAAATTTGGAATTTTCCCGAATAGTTCTATACCACGCGCGCAAGGTTTATAATAAGCTAAGCAAGTTGAGATCAGATCAGGCGAAAACTAAATTATGTCGTGTCTCTTTTTTTCTTAATGATTTAAAACTTAATATTTTAATTTGAAATAGAGTTAAAAAAAGTCGACCTTTATTAAGTTGTATATAAATGAACAGGCAGATATATAAAAAATAATATAACCCCACTTTTTATCTTTTTTTTCAAACGACAAATGCTTTTTCTATGGGTTCACTAAAAATTTTTGAGGCAAATAAATTATATTATAACTCTTAAATATTACTATATATAGAGGGGCTACTGGTATGCAAGCGTATATATTTTTGGCATCATTTTATAAACTAAACTTTTTGTTATCTCTCATGGTCTCGTTCTGCTTGAGAGAATTAGTGGGGTAGGAAGGTAAGCCCGCTAGGAGTATGTACGTGCGAAATCTGATGCCCGTACGAATAAGTTTAGTTTCTTTTTTACTAAAAGGTTAAAAAGTCTGAGTGGTACTTATTATTGACTTTATTATATATATGTAAATAAATTTTTGTAAGTTACATAATCGTATTGTGTTGCTTATGATAACTGACTATAAAAGAAATATCGGGCTTCCTATTTGCTAGTGTTCTCATTAATTTCTTTATATGTAGCGCTTAAATGCACCATTTTTTTAGAAAAAGAAAGATCGCACCTCCTGGGAATAACATTCTATGTCGTTAGATAAAAAAGTTAATGTTATAAATATCCAGAGTTTTTTATATTTTTCCTAAGTTAAGTGAGTGAAATTGCTACTTTGAAATCAAGAGTTTTAAACAAGCTGTTAGCGTTTGTCTTAAATTTTATAAGCTATGCGCCAACACTGTCGTGGGGCGACATCGGCAGTCTTTTTTAATGTAGACTTCTTTCTCGTTTGCACTTGGATAAACAATTTGTTACTTGAGAAACTCGCTTCTTTTTTTGTTTTACAATATTAACCAGCCAAGGATCACGAAGATAGCTTAAACTTAAAACCCCTCAAACCGTGGCCTTAAAAAAAAAGTGATAATATTACGAGAATAAAGCTATTAACAAGGCCTAGACTGTATAATGCAACACAGTTTACTGACTATGCTCAACTTCTGACGCTTGAATTGCGTTTAACATATACTAACTTAAGAGGAAAAACAAGTTAGCCTATTTTCAGAATATCGCGAAAGTTTAAACAGGTAACATAAATATTTCTGGAGTCAGAATATGTCGGTTTGAAGGATGCAGAGGTGTAGTTCTGCCGGCAAAATAAAATAAAGTATTCAGAAATTTAATTAAAGATCTTAGCTTAAACTAAGGTAAAACGACATCGAGTTCTAAGGTACATTACTTCATAAGACATAATAAAAAAGGTAAAGTGAAATAGCACCACCAAATATTTTTTAAAGATAAAATTAAAGTACTTCAGCTATGTGTATGCAAATAAAATGATATATACTTCTTCAGAATACTAAGAGCGTTGTGAAAATATTATATAGCATATTGTATTATGCAGATATTTAAATTAGGGACAGGAGTTTAAAAAAAAAGTATTAAACTTGTTTTAAACTTATTTCCAACGTTTAAATAATCTATTATCTTTATCTTTAAGTCAGAGTACACATTAAAAAAAAAAGGCGGTAGATATTTGACGAGCGCCACTTTTAAACTGGTCTTGGTTTGGCACGGTAGCGGCCTTCCTTGTTGGGGCTAATAATATTAAAATTTTCACAAATTCTACTGTAGTTTATTTTAAAATAAATAAAACGATTTTCCTGAAAAAACTTCCTTGCTCATCCTGCAATTGCTTCTCTAAGCAATTTTTCGCTTACAAAATCTTTACTTTACTAATCAACTATTTTCGACACTAAAACTTCGTGTATAACTTAAATGACAAAAAGTCCTCTAGGTCTTACAATTTATAATCTAACTTAGTTACATATTTTTATTTATACGCAAGCACAGTCGAAAGCCTTAACAATCAGGCTACTGAAAATTCGGTCACTCAGAATAACAAAAAAAAAGTTTTTTTTTGCATAAGCATGTATTCTAACTCAAAATACTTAATAACTTAAATATTATATAAAGAGGCAGGCCAAAGATAAAGATCAATTAAAAGAAGGGGAATTACTCACTAATAAAAGGTTTCCTTTAAAAAAATATTTCTCCTTTAGAATAAATAGATTAAGGAAGAAATAAACATAGAAGAAGCGAAACAGGCACAGAAAAAAAAACTGCAAAAGAGAAAAAAGAAAGAAAGCCTAGAAATCCTGGTCCTGAGCTTATCGTCTCGGACGTACTCCGAGACGTCATCTCCGTGGCAGAAGTAAACAGTTTTCATCAAAACTTCTTGCAGCTCACATTCCAGCGTGCTTGATTTTTAGTGTTCACGAACAGAAATTATTAAACGTATTTGGGATTATATTAAGGCAAATGGCTGCCAAGACCCCGATAACAAGAAATTTATAATTTGTGACGAAGTAATTCTCTGCATCGGTGCTGTTAACGCAAAGAATAAGTTATTGATTTTTTAGAAGCTAAAACCAGTATTTGGAGGCCAAAGCAGAGTAAACATGCTACAAATTACGAAGTATGTAAGCGAAAACGTTACCAAAAAGGAAAAAGTGCACTAAATTTGAAGTTCATTACTGGATAATAAAAATAAAGCATTTCTTAAAGCTTTTTCTCTACTAAATAAATAAGTACGAGAATTTAGTTTCACCTGAGTCTTCTAATTTTAAGTCTTATAGCACAATATTTTCCTAACAAAATTAGGTTATATAGTTAATATACAATTATGTGACCTTTCTACAGTTAGTAAATTAGTTTACTAGATTCCATTAATTTTATATTAACCATGAGTTTTCTAAAAATTTTAAATGGCAGCAACAAATCATTAGCGCACATGGTGTGGACCATTTTGTTCTTTGATTTACTATTTTGTTAGTTTTATCATTATATTTTACTCAGTTCTATAATAATTTTAATTTTTCTTAGCTTAATTAACTTGCATGAAACTTTCAAAAGATTTTATATTTTTTTTAATAATATTATAGTAAAATTTCGTAATAATGTATTTTATTAAATTTCTGCATTAACTAGTTTTTAATTGTGACTGATATCGACCAACCTTTACTAAAATTTTCCCCTTAAAATTTAGTACCACTTCATACCCGTTTCATATCATTTTAGCTTTTATTCATACATTTTATCCGCAGATATCATGTTTTAACGGTTCATAACCCTTCTCCTTCAATACTTGTGCGCTGCTACGTTTGTTACGCACAACAAAAGACTATTAGAACGCCCATTTTTTGTCTTAAAGAGTACTCGCATAGCGTCGCAAATCTGTTTTAAAAATAAGCTGAAGAACTCGACATAAAGCATTGTTTTACACTAATAACTGCGTGCCCTTCATCAAGCCAACAGTTTGTTCGATCGTATTTTAAGTTCAAAAAAACTATTCCTAACGGACACAAATTCCCCCAGTATAGATCGAATACAAAGAACATTGAAATGCAAGAGATTTGCGCACTTGGAACAAAAGAAAGAGGCTCCTCGATATCCGCTACTACGTAATTTGTATACAGCCGCCACGAAGGTTGAACGTAGACGATGAGTTGCAAAGATTTAAGTCATGCTGTATGTTCCTAGAATGACACCACACAGGTGCTGGCTGTAACAAGAGTTGCTATACGTACATATCCCAGTTAAAATAATTTTAAGTAAATATATTGAACACACTGTAATTAGCTGGATCTTTACACTAAAACATGGCCTGTTCAAGAAACAACAAATAAGCTATCTGTTCGCGGGGGGGGGGTTGCTCCCTATTAACATTTTTTTAATTATTTTTGGGGTGCCTCGATAGGTCGAGCGCTATCTTGATTAGGGGGCCAATGGGCGCCTCTCATCACCGTAAGGAGTACTACGAATGTTTAGGAGAATTGAGGGGCACCACCAGGAGAGGCGGCTACGTGTACCCGAGGTCACCTAGAGATACCGACCAACATTGCTGCTGGCCTGGCCCCCCGGTCATTAGCTCTTCGTTACTCAGGACAGGAAGCCTTTTTTTAAACTGCTTGACTAACATGCTTAGTAAAATATTTGTAGCTAAAGTGCGATTATAAGGTCAGAGCTAATAGAGGTGTACTACGTCACACAATGAGGAAAAAAACTACTGGCATTACTGAACTGCACTTCTAGTTTTTTCACTCTCTGCACTCATACTAAAATTAAATAATAATTTGTAATAAACTTAATGATAAGTTAATATATTAATATTAATAAATCATATAACACAATAATAAAAAGAATGTAAGTTTAATTTAAAAATTCTTAAAAATATTTTGTCACTAGTACGGGATTACGTTTTGTACACACAGTAAATAATATTGAAAGGAGGTGAGAGAGCTTAAGTTACCGATCAATCTATTAATAATTATGTATGCTTCCTGCATTGTTACTAGTTTTTTTTATTTACAATCATGTTCGCCAAAAAAAATCGTGTTTTTGGCTACCGCAGTATGACATTTGCTGCTGTTTAACAGTTACCTGCATATCCATTTCTTTTTTTAATTTTATAAAAATGGTTGTGTACACAAATAGAAAAAGGTTATTTCTAAATTGACTACTAAAACAAGGTGGCGTATGTCTGTTTCTAATATAGAGTAAAGTTTGCTTATATCCGAAATATTGAAATTTTAGTTTTCCTAAGAGCTTGCCTGGAAAAAGGGCGCTTGGAGTTTATGGCGTTAACCTCTTTAGTAGAGTGAGTGGAGTTGACAGTAATTTGTTGTAAGCATTTTGTATATTTAGTCACGAATCCTTTATGTTATTGTCGATACCAGTTATTTTGGCAGCTTTAGCTCTTAATAAATGAAAGTTTCATGCGACTATATTACTCTTTAAGTTATAAGCTATTAATAAGTGATAAAGTAATAACAAGCAAGCTTCGGCCTTCGAGTTCATCCTTATGTCCCTTTCAAATTACTCGAGGACTTACTTCGGAAACAAAAACTGCGTATCTTATAATTATTTAAAGTTGCACTTACCCTCTTTTGTAAATACTATATAATATAATTATTTGCGCTGGGACTCCTACCTCCTTAATATTTTAGTTGGGACCGTGCGCGAACAAGTCTTCTTGAGAAGGTAATTTAAGGAAACTTTTAAAGATGTGTTACAAGTATGAAATTAGTTCTATAGTTAGTATGGTTGAAGAGATTTCATATAATTCCTTATCTTGGCTCGAAGTTATATGAAGGAAATAAGAACGCGGGACCTCTTAGTAGTTACTTTTTAAAGTTTATAACTATCTTCAAGGAAAACTTTTTGACAATTACTGCTTTATAGAAAGAGACCCCCCTGTCACTTTTGAGCGCTTACTTAATATAATTAAACCCGAAAGAAAGCGTCTGGCTATAGGTCTACTAGCAACAATGGTAGACAATTTTGCTTTTTTCTTATTAAAATTTATGGTTATCTCATTAAGATGTCTTCAGTGTCTTCTCTCGCTTTTCCTTCTGCTGTAGGACACATAATTGATATCGTTAATCAAGCTGACTATGATCTTCTTAAAGTAGGGAAACTAATTTTAACTATAATATTAGTTTATAAATATGTTAACTTTATAAGGTTAAACTTTATCTTTCAGGGATGGGCCTAGTGGTGCTGATCGGCTCACTTTCTACGTTTATTAGGTTTACAAAGAAAAAAAATTTTTTTCTTTAATTAACATCATATTATGCTGGATTTACCTTTCTTCTTCTAATAGAACTTCACAACTTTCTCTCGTAAACGAAATCGTGTCTAGAAACTTAAGAAAAGAAGTGTTTACATCTATATTACTGCACCGTACGGACTTTTTTGTTCGAAATAGTGCTGGCCTTCTGGTTGCGAGATTAGCTAATGATACGGTCTCTACCTTTAATAATTTGTTAGATTCGGGGTTAATACATTTTACAGGTAATCGTAGCGACAACTTTAACCGAAAACATTTCGCGTTTCTTGAAATCAACCTTTTCCGGAATCTTTTGTTCTTACTTGCTTTTTCGCATTTCTCCAAAGTTAATGAGTTTTGCAACTACTATATTACCGATCCTTGCACTTTTCACCGTAGTATATGGGAGATATAGGTTTTATTACTATTTCAATAACTTAAAACAAGTAATTAATTGTTTAATGCAGAAAAAAAGCTACTCAGGATCTTTTAACAGCTCTTTCTAAAGAAACACAAGTGAGTACCGAAAGTTTTACCGGTATTCTATATATTTTATTGTTAACTTAATAAAAAGAAATACTTTTTTTCCAGGCATTAGAGCCATCCAATCATTTGTTCAGGAAAAGTTTGCTTATAAACGCTATTGTACTGCCGTAAATCAGTCTTTTCAAATAGCACGAAAGATGGCTTTAGTAGAAGGACTATTTCTTGGAGGTTTTAACTGTTCTTGGGATATGATTAATTCTTTTAAGCTCCTTGATTTTTAATACTTAGTTTTTTCTCAATAAAGATTCCTTATCATTTAAGTAATTCCTTTTTTAAGTTATATTTGACAAATTTATGGTTTAACACTACTTATTTCCTTGTTTATTTTTGCATAAGTTTTTTATATATTAAAATATAAACACCAATGAAGGTGGAACCCTAACCTCTCAAGCGACGATGATTTATGTACTCTTCAAAGGAAGTATGCTGCTTAGCGAGAATATAATAACCATTGGATCTTTAACTTCCTTTTGCATGTATACCGGTCCTTTTACTTGCATTTTAAGTATTTTACACATGAAATTTGTTAATGTTATTTCCTTAAGGCTACTTATTTATAAATGTAAGTCAACTCGGAGTTTCTATAAGGTATTATTCTGTTGAGAATTATTAAACTTCCTTAATTTTTTTAATACGTTTTCTGCTACAAATTTAAACTTTCAGTGAATTTATGAAGGCTCAAGGAGCCAGCAAACGCGTTTTTTCCTTGATAGACAGTGGTAATGCCTTAAAAGATTTACCCAAAAAAGGTTAGTGTATCGCCGTGGAACTCGCTATATATATCCCCTTTTTGGCGCGCGCCCCTGTTGGCGAACTTTAATTCTCTAAAAATATACAAATTCTAGTAAAAGGCTCAATCCGCTCTTCTTGCCTTTTTTATGCGCTCTTTCGCTTATTAAGCTAAAAAGACCTGGTGCAATTTCTTTTTCTGTATAAGAGATGGTTTTAGATCATTTTAATTTTTATAACTTGTTATTATTAATTTTATTAAAAATAAGAAATATAAAAAAACCGAGTTAGTAGAAATATAGTATTTCACCCGTTAACACACTATATATATACGGGTAATAAAAGTCTCGGTTAACTATTTTACTATTAAAAATGTCTTTTAAAGATTTAGTGCATTGTAAATTTATTATAATAAACAATTCGGCGTCGGCAAGACGTTTTGCCTGATGATCACACACCTGAACTTAAATTTGAGAACGTTCATTTTTCATTCCCTCAAAGTTTGGAGAGTGAAATACTCGATGGTGTCACTTTTTCTATCCGTCCAGGCGAAAAAGTTGCTATTACTGGGCAGAGCGGCTGTGGTTATCCAACTTACTTTGAATTTATTAACTTTGCCTAAAAAAATGCTTAAAAGGCAAAAGTACAATTGCTTCTCTTCTATTACGTTATTACGATCCCACCAAAGGAAAAATATTTTACGGCGGTAAAAACATAGAAGAACTTGACATAAGCTGGCTTCGAAAGCAAATCGCAGAAGTATAAATTTATAAAAATTCTAAAATTAATAGTAAAAATTATAACCTTAATAGGTAAGCCAAGTTTCGTATCTTTTTAGCGGGACTATTGCAGAAAATATTTCTCTAAGTAGAAGCGACGATAACTTTTATAGTCTTGAAGATCTTGTTAAAGTAATAATACGTGTAAAAAAAAGTAATAGTTATAATCAAAATAGCTCATTGATATAGTAGTAATAATTCTGTTCTAAAACAAAATTATAATAGTAATAGTAGTAGCAACAAAAATTATAAGATAGTAATGGTATTAATAGTTGTAATAGTAATAAAATTCTTTAATAAATTATAATATTTTATAATTAATAATTAGTAATAATAATAAAATTTACAGGCAGCACAAAGTGCAAAAGCAGACGAATTTATAAGAAAACTTGAGAAGAATTACTTTTTCCAGGTTTTCACTTGATCAGAAAACACGACAAGAGGTCAACCAATCTTCATTCCTCACGCAGGTAGGCGAATCTGGAGGCAATTTGAGTGGCGGGCAGCGCCAAAAGATCAGTATTGCTCGCTGTCTCTATTCCACTGCAGGATTGGTTGTTTGCGATGAACCAACCAGCGCCTTAGATGCCCGAGTTTGCACCCAAATACTAAGTTTTTTATGAAGCTAATAGATTATTATCAACAGGAAAAGAGAACTGTAACAAATTCTCTCTTAAAACATTTAACGCACCGTACGGCTTTTATAATAACTCATGATCTCAATATTCTTAAAGCTGTAGATCGAGTTATATTGTTGGAGGTTTTATTTATTATCTTTTGGTAGTACTTTTATTATTATTGCTATAATTTATATCCCTTTTTTTATAAAGAAGGGAAAAGTTATTGGAAATGCCCCGTTTTCTGAGTTGGTAAAAACGAACGAAGCTTTTAGTAAACTTTCCGCCTACTTTTTTTAAAAAAAAAATTCCTCAGTTCAGATTGAAAAGAAAGATTTTTATTTTTTATTCATCCTTGTAGCAACTTTTAAAAACTAGTAAATATTATAAAATAAAAGATTAAAATTATATTTACATTTTTTCTAGAGTGCGTAGAAACCAGTTTAGGCTTTTATTGTTGTCCTTATTAAATTCTAACGTTATTTGCGTGTATTGTCTTAGTGCGTCTCAAGAGCGGCGCAATATATACATATATTAGTAAATAATTAACACTACATAATAACTCAAGTCAGAGAGTAGCTGACTCCCTAGCTAGAGGTACTATTTAACACTAATGCAGCAGAGTATCTAACTATTAAGTGAGCAATGATTAGCTTAAGTTGACACGGTCATTGGCTTAAGTTTGTACAAACATTAGCTATCGAGAATGTCACCGAAGCTCAAGGTAATATTCAAAATGGAACAACCTATTTCCAAAATAGAACCGAATAGATAGAAACTAGTGACCTCTAACTAGGAAGTAATCTTCGTTTTATAAATTTTTACCCAAGTAAAATCTAGACTCTTAATTAGTAGCTAGTGCTTAGCGTAGCGAACCACTTGTGGTAATAAAGTGGTTAGTTTCTTTAGCACCTCTAGTCTTGCAGTAATGGAGCGGTTGCTCTAGGTCAGTAAACTCTTGGTCCAAGACCTGGCAAGCGAGAGCTCGATCTCAGGTACTACTCGATAATAATGTAGGATAGACCAGTGTACAACTAGCTTAATTCTCAACCACTTAGTGGTTTAGGAGTATGATTTGTTATTATTTAGCATCACTCATTAATTCAACAGCCCTACATCTGCTTTGCCTCTACTTACAAAAGAGTAGCTTATTGCGTTGACTTAGCTAGTCTCCCAGAGGTAGTTACTCCAAGGGGTTGCAAGGCTCTGCTTAATCAAGTATTAGAATTAATGGTAATAGGCAATACTAACATACTAAACGCAAGCTTTTGAAAACCTAAGGTCAAAGTAGGTCTTTTTTCACTTAGTTGCAAAGGAAGCTAAAGAAGTCAGCACCTAAAAAACCGGTGTCAGCCCGCTTCCATAAAGGCACAAAACCAAAGTATTTTATGACGATTGCCAGTGTCTTTGGAAGATGTACTATAGAACCTACGACAGGATTAAAGCCATCCCATATATTTTCTCAAGTTCCTTTGCTCTTTCCGGAGCTCCTGGTGCAATAAGCCAAGTTTAAGTCTTGGCTAATTAACGTGAATTTAAATCCTTGTCTGGTTGCAACAGTATTGCTAGCGCACTAAATTAGGATGGTCTCCGGCTGTTCGGAATAGTGTGGTTAGCATATGGTTCTAGGTAACAATACTCTAAACTTCGATAATTAATCTGTTTCCTAGGTAATTACACCATTTAATAACTAAGCTCCTGTATAAGAGCACTAATTATGAAAAATTTTTTAATGGCATTTTTGCTAAAAAAAACCTTTGTAGTTATTTGCGAAACAAATAGCAAAGGCTGAATGCGAGAACGGTCTCTGGGTTAGGTCTTCAAGAAGCACATCTTTTTTTGTCTCGTGCTTCAGACAGCTTCAAAACACCCCTCATTGCATGTCCGCCCTGATTCCAACGCTAGACAAAGAAAGGCATCATAATCAAGGTTTTCTAGTGCAAATTCCATAAATAAGCCCGAGTACTGAATGTGATACGAGCTATATCTCGCCTAAAAATAGTTAGACATCATTAAAGTCTGGCTGCATCCTGCATTGTAGATATTTTCCATCTAAATATGGAACTCAATTGCAAACTCCAGGTCGCAGTCCGCGGAAACCGCTAGGAGTATCATGTGCACTGGACGCCCAATTTCCTATAGGCACAATTTTTATGTGCTCTTTACTATAACAGCCTAGAGAAGCAGATTACACTCTGCTAAATAATGTACATCATTTAAACCAAAGCACCGGGAATAGCCAGTGGTCAAATATCCCAAAATCAGAGAGAGACCTCCCAGTACGAGGTCAACTTGCACAGTTGAAGCCTTAGAGATTAACTCCAAACTCACGAACAAAAACCAGCCAAGATCGCTGTTACCAAAGCCTAAAGAAGAATGCGGATACACGCCCCTACTAAAGTGATATAAAGTAAGATTTGCAGATACAGTCGTTGAAACACGTATCTCTTATACTGATTATTGAGGGTCTTAGACTGCAAGATGACTTATTGGAGGCCATAAGTACTATTTGCCAAAATTGTTCATCATTGAGTGAATAGGGTCGAACTAACTTCTCCAATAAAGAGATTTTAGCAGTTAAACTACTACACCGAATAAAAGAATATATACTTACTATGAAATTACCCTCTTGAATTAGTATTGTTACAAAGTACTATGTTAGAGTGGTTATGTTAAAAAAAGTAAGCATAAGTTTAATTAACCAGAAATACTAACTAACCTCAGCAACATCATAATACAAAACCCTAAGCTAGCACTAATTCTAATGTACTCACTTCATTTAAAGTCAAGCAAGGAAAGGAGGGCCATAGGCAATTAATACTAATACTAGAATACCATTAATATGGGAACTGAAGCCTGAGAGCGGAACTTTTAAAGCCGAGATGTAGATGGTATTTCAGATAGGCGACACGAATAGCGTTAGCCCTGGATCCCTCACGAGCCTTTAAACTATACTTGAGACCTTAAAAAATTCGAGTTAGTAGAGCACAAACCTAGCTTTGGTCGTCAACTATTTACTGGTCCTGTAGTATTTGTATAACTTAGTCTCTGACTCCACAAAGCCAAAAGAATCTGCTAATCAGAGAAACCACAAAGAACTAAAAGCAGGCAATACTTCTGGTAAGTCAACAATAGACTCAGGAGGTGATACTGCATCTGCGTGAGGCTTGAAAAAGCCCTTCTTCTAGAGCCATGTATGACCAGGTCTCAGTTTAACTAAAACCCATAACTGTACACGCGCATTATAAAGTTAAGATAGAACCTTACGAAGACACTACTGTATGCTACGGGTTTATTATTATAAAAGCTTATCTTTCAACCTATCATTAAGCAACTTTTGCGAAGGGATGTAATCGAAATTAGTGTCAATCTAGTGGGGAAGTCTGTACAACCACGGCCAATACTAGGTATTACACAGTATTCCTGATTGTCAGTGAATAGCAGTCAGAGCGAAATTGCTAAGCAGGATGCTACTACTGCGCCACATCAGTCGGTTTCTGTTCTATTCAACTTCCCCCTAAGGGTCTTTTTTACATTTTCCTTCCCAGTACTTTAACTTGTTAGTTCTGCACAACGCTAAAAATTAGAGCAGCCCTTATTAACTTGCATACTAAATTTTAAAAAGTTATGGGTTACCAGCTATTTCCTACACGTTTTTTAATAGGTGCACTTACTCCACTGATTATCTAAAACCACTCTTTGGCTGTTTACGTTTATCTCACCTTTTTCACCCCCATGAACTACAAGGAGTTACTCTTAAGGTTGCTTATTAAAACCAGTCAATTTTTTACGGGATTAATACATTATATATATAAATATATCTTACGTGAAGCTTCTCAATTTCACTTTTTTTTTTACATGCAAACCAAGGTTTCCATCCATCTTGAATATTATATACGTGTTTCTGTTGTAACCTTTTAAGTAGCTACAAATTCTCTTATTAATTCTTTTTTTTTTTGTATTATATGTATTATTTCATTTGAGTTTTGAGGGTTAGCATTTTACTTTCAATTTAAAATTTTTTAACAACTAAACTTTTTTTAAGTGCAGTTTTAAGCTTTACAAAAGATAGATCTTTATGCTCTTACGTTAATTTATAGTTTTGTTGCTAACGTTCAATTTTTTTTAATGAAGTCTGTCTCCTTCTGAATTTGCCTGCGCAGCTAAAACTTTTTTGGAACTGTGATTAATTTTTTCCAGTACACATTCAAACTACTTTTTTAAAAATCAAAAACTTCTATGTTAGAAGACATATTTCTTATACTATATTTTCCTCTCATCTAGCAAAGAATTGAGTTATTTATGTCCTTCTGGAATTTATGTGTTGCCTTCTAAAAACGGTGCCATCTTGATTACCTACTTTTTAAAACGTCAAACGGTATTCATATGCTGGTCTTCAACTAGAATGGCGTGGAGTTATATTTGTTGATGAAGGTTTATATAAAGGTTCCGCCTTCAAATTCGTTCTTAATCTTTCCGAAAGGTATTATTTTTTTATAAATTTTTAATAACTTTGTATATTTTTGTAACTAGACATCCACTGGAATTTCCCGAGATTCTCTTCCTTACACATATTCATCACCCGCTGGTTTTCTAACTATTACAAAAATTAAAATAAAAAACATTTAAACTCTTTATAGATCCAGAAGAACGGAAAACTTTTTCCTCAAGCTCACTTATTTATAAAAAATTCTGTTGGAAGTATTTATAAACTTTACAGAATTCTCACAGAATTAAAGAATATATTTACTGTAAGAGAAGAATTATTTATAGAACTGTGTCGGATGAATAATGAATTTTTGGAAGAGTTAAGTATCTTTGTGTATATTGCGTTTAATAAATCATTCGTTAATCCTTAACTTAGATTTATTAATAAAAAAATTCTGTTTTATGAGAAAGTAAAACGCTGCGTTCAAGAAAGTTTGGATAAATTGGTATCCTATTTAAATTTTAAAGAGCGTTCAGTGTCGAAATTTAGCGTGATTTTTCAGTAATCTTACTAGTAAAAAATAGTTTTTAACTTTTTCCTTTTTTTTTCATAATAATTACTTGTGAAATGCTTACCTCTGATAACGAAATTATAGTTAACTTATATAATATAATAAATTTACAAAAATTGCTTCAAACTTATATTTAATGCTTTGGAAAATTATATTTTATTTTAAATAGTATGACTACGATGAACAAAATTCCATCAATATCAAACCGTTTAATCCATACATTCACGGATCCTCAGAACTACAGTTACGCTTTACTTCTGAATAATCTTATTACTTTCTTTTAAATGGAAGTAAAAATAAAACAGTTTTGTTAACAGGAAAAGTTTCCTTATTTAATAAAAAAAATCAAACTCTTCGTATGTACAAGCCACCATAGTTTTTATATTTAAATTTTAATAACTCTCAAAAAAGTTTTTAACGTTTCTAAATGATACTCAATATACTGTTGTAATACTATAAACTCTTATTTGCTATTTAAAGAAGACTATTCTAAGACGCTTTCGCTAAATCTGGAGCTAAATTCCCCTCCTGCGATAGTTTTTATATTAACATCTCTCGTTTTAGAAGTGAATACAATTGAACTAATAATTTTAATATTACGTACATCCCCGCACTTGTACTCACTTGGTTAGTTGAGCAATAAAACTATAATAATTTGACTAATAATTTTCTATAGCTTTATACTTCTATAAACAAAAACTCGTATAAGTGAAATAAAATAGTAGCAACAGTCATAAGCACAAGCCAGCCAGGTGAAATGGTACCTTCGAACCGTTAACTCCCAACTTTCTTATACCCTCTCTTTTGGCGGAAAAGTTTAAAAATGAAAATATAAAATATGCATAGGGAATTGGACTAATAAGTTGAGATGCTTTTATTATAAATAGGAGAAAAAGGACCCCCTTAAATATTGTGCTTTAAAAAAATAAATTAACCATTAAATTCTAACTTAAAACAGTTAAAAATATTGTTGATATATTTAATAAGATTTTTATGAAGATATGGACTAATATCAAGATAAATTAGAACTTTCTCTTTTTTCCGTAGGGATATAATTTCGAGTTTTCTAGATTTTCAGTATCTGCTTTGGATAGTAAAGGCCATTACTTCTATGGTAAATGACGATGCTTGAAAAAGCCAATTAAATGATTGAAGAGCAGCACTAAGAATGAACGACGGAATGACAGCAGGGTATGTAGAGTACAAAATTTCAGGACTTTTTTTTAGGTACAATAGGGCATGGGCTCTAACATGGGACCTAACTTTTGTTATATTTTTAACTACTCCAAAATAATTAGTTCCCCCACCACACCAAAGAAGTGGGCGCACAGGAAATCATTTTCTAAGATATTTAGTTCTGACAAAAAGTGGACACTCTTAAGATCACTTATTGCTAAGGTATCAAATCCATGAATGCAATAAAGATCTCTAGGCTAATATCAGGGGGATGACGACTAAAGGCGCTTCTTCATGTCCGATCTGAGTAAGTTCGGAAGGATGTCGAGCCAGGTGTGGCTTTTCACGTATACTGTTCTCTACCCTTTTTAAATCGCGTTATGAATATGTGAGTATTCTTGGTAGAAAGTTTGAAGCATTCAAACTTTTTGGCTAGAACGAGCACCAGGAATAGCCTTTCACTAAGAATAAGCACACCGCAACTCCAAAGATAGGGGCCCCCCACCAAGTTGGGAGTGATTAATCCAGAAGCTCGAAACTCTCTTGTATTCTTAGGGCCTATAAGCAGTTCAGGACACTTTGATCAGTAGAATACGCTACTTCAAAGGTTCAAGCTTGGACCCTTCTCTTCCTCGGATACCTTCTTTTACTTCCAAAATCCTCCTTGCTAGGGCCCTCTTTATTCTGAAAATCTTATGAATTTGTCCACAGAAAAATGTCACAATATATATAAATGAAGCCATTATACTGGGTGAGTGGTCAAATACGCAACATCAAAAACTCGAAAAGAGAGTTGCGTCGGTGGGGACGAAACGACCTTGAGTATGCGCGTCAAGACTCTGAGCTACGACGACAACACTCCCTGCTTTATGTAATTAACCTGTTACAATAGCCCCATAACCTTTTATTAAGGTTGAGATTTACAAAAGAGGATGCTCTGAATTGGGTGTGATTATGCAATTTAAGGATACACAAGCCATCATCGTAAACTTTACCCAAGCAAAAAGCGTTCTGACCTTGATAGCGTCATTAACCCATTGCAAAAGCATATGCTATTAGCAACTATTAAAATCTTTGTTGTCTTGTAAATTCGGTCTCGACCCTTGGCACCTTTTTTAATGCGTGAAAGAGTACGATCATCGTGATGCTACCGAAGTAATCGCGACCAGCGTTCCTGCCGAAAAATATCTGCCCATTGGATTCTTACAAGTAGTTGACATTATAGCTGAGTTTGCTCCATTGCGACTCTTAGTAACGGTCATAACTACTTGAGCTGCCTTGCTTTAGTTCCACTATAAACTTCGGCTTAACCATACAACGACTCAATTCTTTTTGTGTTTGTCAAAGTAAATGTCGCGCCTTTAAGTCCAAGAAGATCATTAAAACCATAACCACGGAGGCTACCATGTACTAAGCTCTCCCTTTAGAGAATCCGGAGATGCAAAATGCGCTTGACGGAAATATTTGCGATTACACCCAGATAGGGCTCGAGTATTCGATGTTAACTCGTTCGAACACCAGGAAAAGTCATTTCTATATAAATAAATAAATAAATTTAAGACATATACAAACCTGAAAAATGCGGTGAAGAGCAATACACTTTTAATTACTAAGAAACGCATCCCTTTTTTGGCGTGAGTATTCCGTAGTGTACTCAAGCGAAAAACTTAGGAGAGTCATCATAGACAACTGGTAGCACACCTGGATTACTTAGGGCGAAAGTCCAGGCAGCAATTAAGGCGCTTTTACCCTTTACTATGTGGCAAGAGAAAGCTTTCTCTGTAAAACAAACGGCAATTGCATGTCCTACAGTCCAGCCCATAATAACATGCGCGTCAGATGCTTGAAGCTACGCTTCACTGCAATAGCATCGGCGCCTCAAGTGCTACAGAACAAATTGCTGCGCTTAATGACAAACGTTCCTTAGTTTGTGCGAAAATGAGACTCTTCACCGGGACCGTCAGCTGGATCCTTAGACGTCGTCTTCCAGCGTAAATGTTAATGTCCTCTACGACAGGCTAGCAGGGCACACTAATCACCTGTTAGTGAGTGAACTAATTTACGCGCCAAGGAACGGGGCACGTTATCGCCAGCGCCAGTTTTTGTTTGTTAACCCCAAGAAATTAATGACACCTCGATTGAAACTACTTCGTAATAAGGCTACGATCACTCCTGATTGGAAGCTCGAGTATTCGAAGTTTTTTGACTCGATCGAGCAAAAGAAAAGTCATTTATAAATAAATAAATATACCCAGCCCTACTAAAGCGGTATTGATCTGTCTATTTTTTAAATCTTTATATTATCACATTCTGTCTAAATAATATTTAGAAATTTAAATATTTTTTTATTAAAAAGTTTATTTAAAATAAGTTCAATTTCAAAGTAAGTAGTACTTAAACTTTTAAGTTAATTTTCTGTTTCTGGACAGGGCTAGAAGCAATCTGTCATTTAAAGTCTTAAAGTTATAGTTCATTGCTGCTTTTTAGACTTTGATTTATTTTTATTATAGAAGTAAAAAGAAAGATTTCATTATTTGTATATTGATCGATATTAGTTATAGGAATAATATTTTACTTTAACATAATGCTTAAGCCACTGAGACGGTTGAAACCAACCAGAATGTCTGTACAAGTGTAACAGAACAGCAAGACTATAAACCGATAGTTATTGCACGGTATAATATAATAATTAAAGGTGTGAGCGTCATCAACTTCATAATACTTAAAAATAATATTGATTTACAAAGAATATATAGAGTTTTACTGCAGTGTTTGTAATTTTTTAAAAAACGATAGATTAAAAGTTTAACCTGCTTCTAAAACAATGGCTGTGGTGACCATTAACGATGTGATAGTTTTAAACAACCCTGCTCTCTTTACTTCTCCTTATAAATTTGAAATATTTTTTGAGGCTTCTAGTGAACTTTCTGAAGGTTTATTGTCTCTCGAATTTTACAACTCAACTACATCTTATTTTTAAATTATATCCTTTTAATTATAAGATCTTGAATGGAAAATAATATACGTGGGATCCCCATACAGCGAAAAATACGATCAAGTTTTAGATTGCATTTTAGTGGGTCCTGTTCCTGTTGGTCTAAATACTTTTATATTTGAGGTTACTATTACAACTTATTTATTTACTTATTTATAATATATTTAACATAAAAGGATATTCTGTAGATATATACTTTTTTTTATAACAAAGGCTAAAGCACCTGATCCTAAGTTGATTCCTAATGAATATATTGTTGGAGTGACAGTTGTATTATTGATCTGCTCGTATAAAGGTTTTACTATTTCTCCTTTAAATTTTACTTATAGATCAAGAGTTCTTACGGAAAGCATATTTAATTATCCTTTATTCGAGAATAAACAACTCAAATATTATAAAAAAAAATATGTTTACCAATTATATAAGATTTTCTATAAATATCAATAGTTTCACCTTTCCTAACCCTAAATTTGTAAAAAGTAGAAATTAAGTTAAGTAACTTTAA